GTTAACTGACCTGAGTTGTTGCCACCCTGTCTTCAGTTCTTACTCCTCCTCATTCTTGAACTTGCTGAACTCTGGCTATTGTGTCTCTCACTCCTCTGGCCAATGTCACTAAAGGTCTCTTAATTACCAAGTCCAATACATTTCTATTTTTATCCAAAGCCATTTGGAATAGGCATTTGACATAGTTGATGATTCCTTCAAACTCACTTCTCCATTTCTTTCCACACTGAAACCTCCTGGGGATCTTCCTCTCTTTCAGTTTCCTTTTTAGGCATTTCCTCCTTTGCATGTCCCTTAACTACTGTTATTTAGCATTCTGCCTTCACCTCTGTCCCTGGGTAATCTAACCCACCCCTTCCGGTAGCCTCAGTTGCCATTTATAACTTATGGATCCCCAATCTAAGCCTGCATTTAAGCACAGATATATGCCACAGCCTATTGAAGAACTCCAGTAGGTGCTCCCTGCCCATTTCCTCTCTAATAACATGATTTTTAAAACTGTTCACTTATCTATCTTGAGACAGGGCCATATGTCTCTTTTATTCTTTGGTACCTTATATATAGTGAGTTCATAAAAGGAATTCAGTGAACAATTGAAGAATTAATAAATGAGTATCTATCCAAGAGAAAGCTGTTCCCTGGATTCCATCTACTGAAAAACATTTTGATAATGTGAGATTAAAAAAAAAACTGAACAAATCAGGTTTAGTAATTATAAAACAGAATTGGTAAGAAAACTGTAGTTAGGGATAAGGCAATGGCCAGAGGTAGTGATAGAGATGAGCCATGTCATGGCAATCTATGGTTATGTTTCAAATTATGAGGGGGTCCGGACTATAGATCAGTGGTACACTGTGTGCTTCCCATGTGCTAAGCCCTGGGTTCAATTCCTAGCATCTATCTATCAATCAATCAATAAAAGTAAATATAAAAAATTTAAAAAGAAGTAGAAACCATGGATCAAAGAAGAAAACAGAAGACATATGAAAAGAAGTAGTGATGTCAAGAGAGAGACAAGGAGGCAGAATGAGCAGCTCACTCCACTGAGACTGTGTCTGGAATGGCTTTTGCCCTTTACTGGATTCTAAAGCTGAACCCAGATGACATTTCCTCAGGAAGTCTTCCCAACCAGCAGCATTTTGGGGTCAGAGAGCAATGGTTTCTGGGAAAACCATCATGTATTTCTTCCTAGCCCTGAACAACAACCCCTTCATGTTTTAAGAATCCAGAAATGATGTGCCTACAATAAAACATTTCAGGCAGTTTCCAATTATCTTCACTTTTACCATCACTATTCCAAAGCACCCTGCAAACCCCCAAGCAAAGGGAGAAAGGAAAAAATATATACAAAAGACATGCCAGATATGGTATGGGTCCTCCTGCTTTTTTTTTTTTTTCCTGAATGTCTGAGAAGGTGAAGGTGGAACTGTGAACATTTGGTAATTGAATTGAGGAATAAAGAGGCTGGTTGTGTGAAACAGGGGAACAGTATCTAAGCATGTCCTCTTGGCTCACTCTCTTAGTTTTGTTAACTGAGGGATTTTACATTGATTTTACAGAACTGATAAATTGTTTTAGAACAGGCACCTGGAGGCTTATCTCAGTGTCCCTTGGGTTCCTGCCTCCCCAGCTGCCAGGAGGGGCAGCTGTACATTCCACAATACAGACAGTCTATTCACATGTTCTCATAAATCAACTTTTTTTTTTTTGTGGTGCTGGGGATGGAACCCAGAACCTCATGAATGCTAGGCAAGTGCTCTAACACTGTGTTAAATTCTGGGCCCCAAAACTGTTAGCAACAAAAGGACCAGGCTGGATGCAAATTCTGGGCCCCAAAACTGTTAGCAACAAAAGGACCAGGCTGGATGCAACTGCATGGATCAGCTCAGCACAGCTTTTATTCAGGAACAGAGTGATACCTCTTATGGACCAACTTTCCTGGTGGAAAATGAGCCATTGGCCAAAGAGGGAGTGTAGGCTTATCTAGGTTACACTGAGAGGATGACTCGATCAATGAATATGTCAGTTTGAACTATCTTTACTAGGCCAGATGGTGGGTGTGGGGCCAGTGGTTAATATGTGGGAAAGAATTTATTTAGGGCAGAATCAATGCTTTGGCCTCTTCCCATAAACTGTCATTTCAGACTTGATGGACATCTCCTCCTCAGGGCCTGTCCTATCACTGGGAAAGAATCAGTGTATTGCCTTCTCCCTCATTCCTTCTCCCTGGGCCATATTATTTTGGGGTTTGTCATTTTCTGTATCCAACAAAAACAACTTTTTAGGGGCCGGGGTTGTGGCTCAGGGGTAGAGAGCTTGCCCACCATGCATGAGGCACTGGGTTCCATCCTCAGCACCACATAATAAATAAATAAATAAATAGAGATATTGTGTCCATATTTTAAAAAAATCTTAGAAAAACACAACTCTTTAAAATAGAGGAAATATAGGCTTGTTGGGTGTTAAAAGACACAATAAAGGGTTGGGATTGTGGCTCAGAGGTAGAGGGCTTGCCTACCATGCATGAGGCTCAGGGTTCGATCCTTAGCACCACATAAAAATAAAATAAAGATATTGTGCCCACCTATAACTAAAAAATAATTTAAAAAAGACACAATAAAGGCAGCACTAGGAGTTCATTTCACATATATTTTTCCATAGTGAAAGAATATAGAATCTAGACCTAGATAGCCAAGTCTGAAGTTTTCTCCTTATGTCCTCTCATCTTCAGGCTGGGATAGTTGCCTCTTCTGGATTCTCATGGCACCCTATTCCCTTATACAACATGCTGTTTACACCCCCCAGACTGTAAACTCTCTGAGATAAAGACTATGCTGTGTGTCCCTATTAGTCACATAGAGTTTGGCATACAGGAGACCTTTAGTCATGTTTGTTGAAGGAAGGAATGATCCACTTTATCCCTTAATATCAATAATCCCTGGGCCCCTGAGAAATGGTGATTGAACAGTTATGGGGCCCCTGAGTCATACTTCTTAATCTTGTACTTCATGATTTTGACCTTCTGTTTGGCTTGGAATGCTATCCCTGGGAGACCTGTGCTAGCCTTGAAACCCAGTAAGCTGGTGGAGTTTCAGAGTTGCTTCTGCAGGCCTTCTTTCCTAAGAAGCTGGCCCTCTGAGTCCAGGGATCTCCATTTGTGAGGGAGATGTAGAAGGGTTTAGGCAGCCAAGACAAGATGGAGAGTGAGGAGGTCAGAGGCAGGGCTAGAACAAAGGAGCATAGAGAGGACCTTCTAAGGAGGTCAACTTCCAACAAAAGCGCTCATGAACACAAGCCAGGGACCCAATCAGACAGACACTTCTGTATTCATGCTCCGAAGCGGGGGATCCAATTAAAAAAACTAAGATAGACTTGAGGACACAAGGGGCACCAATCAATAATGGTGATGAGCTTGAGGAGATAAGGAAAGGAGGAAATTCCAGAGATCATAAAAAGAACAAGCCAAAAGGGACCCCTTCTCTCTAGAAAAGTATGTCTCTGTCGCTTTTGCAATAAACCTGCCACTTGCTTGCTCTCTCTGTGTCCTGTTCTTCAATTCTTTACTGAATGGAGAAAACAAACTCAGCACTCCTAGACAGTTAACACCTACATATAGGTAAACTGCTCTTCATCCCACCCCAACATTGAGTCCTGTCCAGCTTTTCTACTCTGTGCCCTGTCATTGTCATTAGACTCACAGCTGCCCATCATTTTTGGGATGATATGGGGATGAACAGGAAGAAAGAGGAAGGTCAGCCTTATCTATCTATCCCTTTCCTTCTTTCCCCCTGCCCTCCACCCCTCTCCCCTTTCCTTCCAGGGACTGAACCCAGGGGCACTTAACCCCTGAGCCACATCCCTAGCCCTTTTTATTTTTTTAAATTTGAGACAGGGTCTCTCAGTTACTTAGGACCTTGCTAAATTGCTGAGGCTAGCTTTGAACCTGCGATCCTCCTGCCTCAGCCTCTGGAGCCACTGGGATTACGGGCCTGTGCCACAGGCCCCCACAGGAATTGTGATCCTATGGCTCCCACTGCTGGTAGTACCTGGCACTAATATCCTACCATTTTTTTGTCTGGCTTCTGCAAATACTTGGGCTGATTGATTCTGGGGAACTGCTGTGTTCTCAAGATAAGGCCCTTGTGTTAAACCTCATCCTTAAGGAGAAGAGCCTAAGGTTATGATCCTCCTGCTTCAGGATTGGGAGTAGCTGGGATTACAGGTATGTGCCAACCATGCCTGGCTTCCTTGTTTCTTTTTTATATATATATTTTTAGATGTTGATGGACCTTTATTTTATTCATTTATTTACAGGTATTTGCCAACCATGCCTGGCTTCCTTGTTTCTTTTTTTATATATTTTTTAGATGTTGATGGACCTTTCCTTGTTTCTTATTTCACTGTTTTCCCTCTAAAATCTCACTGCTTTTAATATAATTAAGTTTAGGGCAATAAACACTTATTGAGAAGTTATTAGATGCTAATGCTGTTATATTATGAAGATGGTTGTTCTAAAATTCTACTAAGTTACTTGTTTAAGCAAACCTTGTCTTGGAATCTATACGGACTTATTTCCTATTCACGCTTCCATTAACATAAAGCTGGTTTCAAATTTCGGCCTTTTTTTGGTGAAGAGATAATAGAGTCTAACAAGATTTTTTTTTTTTTTTAAGATTAAAAATTTCATTCTGCGAGAGGTTTATAAGAGGAAAGACTGAGGCTCCTAAAGATTAAGTATTTAGTCTTGATCTTTGGTAGCACAGCTTAAGTTCGAAGCCTTGCCTTGCTCGCGCCCTCCTTCCCAGCTCCTCACTTCCGTTTTCTCTTACTAGCTCCACCCACTCCAGCCTGCGCAGTCTCCATGTCAAGTTTGACCCTCGGACGGCTGCCGTAGCGCGTCGCCTCCGTTGCTGTGGGAAACGACCCGCGACCTGGGAGGAAGCGAAGTTGTTTCCCGCCGGCGGGAGCTGTGGCTGTGGTTGAGAGAAGGGCTCGGAGCGGGCGTGGACCAGCGCTGCAGCACGATGGCGGACCAGCTTTATCTGGAGAATATAGATGAGTTCGTCACGGACCAGAACAAGATCGTGAGGAGCTAGGACTGGGGAATGTGGGCGTGCGAGCGGGGTCTTGGGCCCGGCCAGGGCAGCGGGGCCCTTGACTCCTGTGCTTGTAGCCTCGTGGGGATTGGACGAGGGGAGGTAGGTCACCACCCCTCGTGCCCCAGGAAGAGCGAGGGCTTTCGCGGGGAGATCCTCTGGCTTACGCGCAAGTCCGCGGGTCTTGGGCGGACGTGTGGGAACTGTGCACCCGGCTGGCGCCACCGAGGTCAACGCGGAGGGCGGGGCGTTGGTTGAGAACATTTGTAAGGGTACATCTAGCTTTTCAGGTGGTTGATGTCCAGAGTCCCAGGTTTACAGTTGAGGAAATTGTGTCTTGGTTAAGTGACAAGTTGTGTAATCTCAAGACGGTTTCCTCTTCCTGAAAATTTAAATATTGATAGTGGTTTGCCCCGCCTAATGGGGTTGGCGTAAAGATCAAGTGAGAGGACGGATCTGAGCGCTCTTTGCAAACTGTGATGATTGACTGTTTACTTTGGTAGACTTTGCAGTGATCTAAACGCCCTTCGGGTGGGTGGTATTGTCCCTACAGGAAAAAGTTGAAGCAAAGAGGTCAAATAAATTGTTTATTTGCAGTTAGTAAGGGATAGGTAGTTTTGGAACCCAAGTCTCTCTCCTCCATTAATGCTATACTGCCTTTGCCCGACCTATTAGTTTTATTTTGGGAAGCTCAGCATTTTGAATAGGAAGAGACTTCGAGAGAAGAGGTTTACTGGATCAAGGAAGAATGCAGAATTGATGCCAGTAATTCCCAATCTAACCACTGATACAGTTTATCCACTTTACTCACTCATTTCCTGACCCTCCACACCTGTGTCTTTTAATGTTTGTATGGCTGCAACTTTCCCTGAAAGTTTTAAGTCATACACTTCAGAGTCATCTAGTTTCTGGGTGAGTTTTGGGATAGTTTTGGGTAGTGGCCCCACCAGAGACAGAATGTGAAAAAAGGGCATAAGTAAAACAAGGAATGTGAGGGAAATGAGTTTTTTAAATGCATATTCCACTTACTATTTTAGATACTTCTACATTAATCAGTTTGTGAAAACAGACTTCCTAGACAGACAAATATGTTGGTTCAATTTGCCCAGATAGAGGGTTCTTTTAAACTACAGTGGCATCTATTGTAATTTATAAGGGATAATCATCTAATAATGGGAATCAGGCCCTTGGGAATTTTCTGCACACTGAAGTCATCTAATAAAACATTTTGAATATTGCTGTTTCTTGCAGGTGACATACAAATGGCTGAGCTATACGCTAGGGGTTCATGTTAACCAGGCCAAACAGTAAGTTCAGTTTACTTCCAATTTTAATGACATTGGAGTTTTTTGTTTTGTTTATTTTGATTTTCCTGTCTATACATAGCCCCTAGGTTAGAACTGATTTTTTTTCTCCTGGATAAATGGGAAATAATATTATTTTTAATAACTTTTATCTCTATAGGGGGGTTAGTGGGCTTGTATATGAATGTGTGGTGATAAATTTTGCTGGATTTAGTTGCAGCCTTGGCCTCTGGTTAGCATCACTTTGTTATTTCGAATGTATTAAATGGACTTGCCAGTTCTGTTTATAACTCAAATTTATATATCTGTTATCTTACATCTTTACTACATTTTCACTGTACTTCTTAGGCTTATTTTGGGGTGTTATTGAAGTACTATCATAAGGAGGTCAACAGGTGTTTGACAGATGTATAATAGTGTATGACAAGAAAACTAAGAGAAACTACAAAGTGAGTGTTTAAAAGCATTTTTGAATTTTACTATATGAGTTTTCCTCACTGAAACTTGTGGTCCAACTTGAGCCCAGAGGGGAATAGCAAGCTTTTGATTTAACTCTAGAATTTTTCAGCCTGCAAAAGTGCAGATACTGTCTGTATTCCAAGGGGCAGGATTGGTGAACCAACTAAGGACACACATATTGAACACATTTACTTTGTTTTATTCCTTATGGTAACCTGGTTTTTGTCTGTTCCTTGAGTGATAGGAGTTTTCTCTGAATCATAAAAACATTCCACAAGAATTAAAAAGTCCCTAATCTCTAGAGCAGATTGATTTGACTTTGTTGTATTAATATTAGGTCTAGGAGACTGATTTTGGCTGTGATGTTTAAGCTTTTAAGACCTGAAACTGTTAGCCCTGGGATAGACTTGAGCTGGTTTTGAATGAGATTGCCAAAGACCATGGTGCTGGTCTAAACCTAAGAGCTTCAGTGACTTTGATTATAGACATTTATAAGAGTTATTAGTCATTGCAATTATGAATGTGTAGATAGAAATGAAGCAACTGTTACTATATATACACACAAACACCCACATACACACCTGTTGGAGTTTAAAAATGCATATTAAGGGTTAGAGTTTCTGAAATAAAGATGCCTATAATTTTACTGTCGCTAAACTTATTATATATCATTTTTTATAGCTTAACACTGTCTAGCTCCTGCCTTTCTGTCCTACTTAATCCTATTCTACTCTCTACCTCACCTATTATCTTCTTCAAATATACAAAATTTATTCTCATCGTAGGACCTTTGTACTAGTTCTTCTGCCTGCCATGGTCCTCTTCCAGCTTTCCTCATTCTTCAGGTTTCAACTCAGATTTCATGTTATATGTAATAAGCTTTCCCTAATGCTCTGTTTCAAGTGTTTCACCTCTTCTTAATTCTTGTCACGTCATCCTATTAATTTCCTTCATAATTCTTTTTTGTACCTGGAATTGAACCCAGGGGTGAACCACATCCCCAGCCCCCTTTTTATATTTTATTTAGAAACAGGATCTCACTGAGTAGCTTAGAGCTTCACTAAGTTTCTGAGGCTGGCTTTGAACTCTCAATCCTCTTGCCTCAGCCTCCCAAGCCACTGGTATTACAGTGGGTGTGGTGGTGCCTAACTCATAATTCATTAAAAAAAATTTTTTTTAGTTGTAGATGGTCACAACACCTTTATTTCATTTATCTAAATTTATGTGGTGCTGAGGATCAAACCCAGTGCCTCACATATGCCAGGTGAGCACTCTACCACTGAGCCACAAACCCAGTCCCTCATACTCATTTTTTTAAAAAAATTATGGATATAAAGATTTATGGATATATAATTCACTTACTATACAATTCACCCATTTAAAGTATACAGTTTAATGGTTTTCAGTATAATCAAAATTGTGCAACTATCACCACAATCAATTTTAGAATATTTTCATCACCCCAGAAAGAAATTATATGCCTATTAATAATCACTAATCATTTCCCCAACCTCTTCCTGCCAGCCATAGACAGCCGTTAATCTTTCTGTCTGTAGATTTGTCTATTCCAGACATTTCATATGCATAGAATCATGTACAGTCTAATATATCTGGTTTCTTTCACTTAGTATGTTTTCCAGATTTGTCCAGGTTGCTGCATGCATCTATACTTAATTCCGTTTTATTGCTAAATAATATTCCATTGTATGGTGTATGTTTCCACTTAATTAGGCTACCATAATAAAGCACTACAAATTAGGTGGCTTAAAACAACAAATTTTATTTACTCAGTTCTGGAGGTTAGAAGGCCAAAGTCAAGGTGTTAGCAGAACTATGCTCCCTTGGAAACCTGTAAGGAAATTTTTCTTACCTTTGTCCACGATCTTTGGCATTTCTTGGCTTGTAGCTACTTAATTCCAATCTTTGCCTTCATTGTTACATAATATTCTCCTTGTGTGTCTATCTTCACATAGCCATTTTTTTGTAAGGACACCATAGATGTTGGATTAAGAGCCCATCCAACTACAGTATGATCTGGGCTTAATTAAATACATCTGTATTAACCCTAAATCCAAATAAGGTTATATGTTAATGTGTTAAGGGTATTGCAAAGGTATTTCTTTTTCAGACTCAGTTTAGCCAATAGCATGGATATACTAAATTTAATTTTATCTGTTCATCTGTTAATGGACATTTTAATTGTTTCTACATTTGATTATTATGAATAGCACTGCTGTGAATGCCTGTGTACAAATGTTTGTATAAACACATGCTTTTAATTCTCAAGTATAGATTCCTCAGATTGGAATTGCCGGATCATATTGCTGTTTAACATTTTGAGGAACTGACAAACTATTTTTTAGAATGGCTGAACCATTTTAATAATCTCACTAACATTGTGTGAGGATTTCAATTTCTCCATATTCTTGCCAGCCCTTTTTATTTATTTTTTAATATATTTTTTAGTTGTAGGTGGACACAATACCTTTGTTTTATTTTTATGTGGTGCTGAGGATCGAACCCAGTGCCTCACACACTGAGCCACAACCCCAGCCTGCCAACCCTTTTTATTATGTCTTTATTTCACCTCTTTGTAAATATGAAGTAGTATCTCATATAGTCTTAATTTGCATTTTCCTAATGACATTGAACGTCCTTTTATGTGCTTATTGGCCATTTGTATATCTTCTTTGGCGGTTGGAGGGGTAGTAGGAGACTCAGTGGGGCGTGGTTCATGGTAGCTAAGGAGGTGAAGAGAATGATCAAAAGTGTAGGTGGAGTTTTCTCTTGGAATTTTTGAGTTTTTGGCTGTCCTAGTAGAAGTATGATATAAGAACCTTAATTAATGCCTCTTAAAATAAAAGATAAATGATATCTTTTTGTCATTAAACTATAAATTATTGAGGGGAGTCAGCTGCAACATTTGCTGGAAGAAAGAATAAAAATGAATTAAAGGATTTTATTAAAAGCAACATTTTGCATTTAGTGTTTGGTTCTTTCAGGTTAATGAATATTTTGGATATTGGGTGGTATAAGTAAGCTGTTTAATTCTCTAGTTATGAAGCAGCATTGAATCTGAGTAATTATTAGCATTAGAATTTCAGAGCTGGACATTTGTGATCATATACATAATAGAGTTTTTAATATTTTAGAGTAATGAATTCTAAATCTCTTGAAACCCTGAGTCATCTCCACTCCAAAAAGCACATATATATTTGCTGATACTTTGGTGGTTAGGGTTATATAAGACATGTGAATCCCAGATTAAGAGATTCACTAATCTAGTACAGCATTCCCTTGCATTACCTCAGGATGTTAAGAGCCTAGAAAAATTGATTTATCCTGGATCTGTCATAGCTAGATAGATAAGTGACTGAACTTACTCTTGATTCAGCAGTGTATTCATTCTAAATCATGGCTCCCATTTTAATATGGGTTCTGTCCCTCTTATCCTCTTATTAGACTTTTTTTTTTTTTTTGCTGTGCCAGGGATCTAACCCAGGGGTATGTTACTTACTGAATCACTATGCCAACTCAAACAAGTTGACTCCTATCCCCAAGTCCAATCTAAAGTCCCTTTAAAAAAAAACTCTGTTCATGGACTGAACAAAGATCCTGCTTGAATCCAGGGGTACTTTATCACTGAACTATATCCCCAACCCTTTTTATTTTTTATTTTGAGACAAGATCTCACTAACTTGCTGAGGCTGTCCTTGAACTTGTGCCTGGCTGCTTTTAAGTCATGAATTAAAAGAGTTTATGAGGTTAAAAACTATTACTAATGAATTACTTTTGTTTCTTTGGAACAGGATGCTATATGATTATGTCGAAAGGAAACGGAGGGAAAATTCAGGAGCCCAACTGCATGTCACCTATTTAGTGTCTGGTAGTATCATTCAGAATGGACATTCCGTGAGTTCTCAGAATTTTATAATGGGCTTATATGTGTTTAAGCTACAAACAGTGTTATAACCTTACATTGGAGAAGAAGAAAAAAAACAAGAAGATGATTCAGTATTGTGGAAGTTTTAAGTTCAAAATATTCATCTTAGAGGAGGATTTGAATTTTTAGACTACATCTGAAACTCAACAAAGTTTGGGAAATATCCTTTTTTCCCCAAAATATTTTTAGTTGTCTATGGACTTATTTTATTTATTGATATGTGGTTCCGAGAATTGAACCCAGTGCCTCTCACATGCTAAGCAAATGCTCTACCACTGTGCCACAACCCCTGCCTGGGAAATATCTTGGCTGTGATACAGAGGCTGTATCTTTATGCAGTTTTCTAGGCAACAAGATATTGGGAGATTGCTTCCACTATTCTTTTTTTTTTTTTTTTTTTTTTTTAGTTATAGATGGACACAATATCTTTATTTTTTTAATGGGGTGCTGAGAATCGAACTTAGTGCCTCAAACGTGCTAGGCAAGTGCTCTACCACTGAGCCACAACCCCAGCCCCCATTATTCTTTATATCTTTCTTCAAGATATGTTGGAGACAGTGGTCATTAATTTTCATCTTGTTCATATTTCAAGCCACAAATCTAGGTGTTCAAACAAGAAAAAAAAAAAAAAGTTTTTTAACTTCATTTTAATTCTGAGCACTCATTTTGGTAGTTGTGTAGCTATGTTTAATGGGTAGGAAATATTGGCCAGGGACTGACCTAATACAGTGCAGAAGCATGGGCTGGAAACACTTTTATGCTCCTACATCTTCTTTTTATATTGTGGTCCAGGTGTTATCTGGTCATTCTAAACACAGGTTACTATTCTGTTTTCATCAACCCAGCAACAAAGCTTTCTCAAATCTGTTGGCTTTCTCTTAACTACTTCTGTATTTGTCCTTCTCAGGGGCATAGAGATTATTCTATTCCCATGCCTTGGTGGGCACTGGAATCTCTGCCGAGATATCTTATTCCATCTCCTGTACCAGGCTGAGCCTTGGGAACAATGTTAGTAATACCCCCTCTCTAGCTTCCTCCCAAAAGTAGACACCTTCCTTGCTCTCATCTTCTTCAAGTCTGTGTGATAGTTCTTTTGCTTCTTCCACTACCAGTCCCATGGACCAGGGCTCCTTCTCAGAGATATGTTAATATGTTTCCCTCTTCCCTTTTGACTTGTCCTCAGAATCGTAGGTTTAGAACCCTGACTTGTCTGAATACTGATTCTTTGTTTTTTAGCAAAAGAATTTTAAACATGTGATGTTTAAAACTGGAATGTTAATTTAGTAATTCATAAGGAGAAACAAAACTCCTCAAGGGATCAAATCCTTATATTTTCTAGCCAGCATTTTCTGTCCTTATTGGCAAGCTATTTGGCAAGCCAAATGATAATCAAGGTATTTGCAAGTTTAGAATCAGATATCATTATATATCTGAAATAGGAAATTAAGCAGTCTTGATTTATTTACTCTCAAGGATAAACCTGCCACCAGAATTTTCTCTCTGTATGGCTTTTGAATGGATACTGTCAAAGTTGGCAACTGTATGTCATTTTTCTTTTTAGGTTTAACTACATTCGTGTCTCTTTAGATATGTCAGTACCTTTAAACTATGTAGTTAAGTCTTTTCCTCAGTATCTTTGTATTCCCTTGAAGTACAGGTTGAATTTCCCTTTTCTGAAATGCTTGGTACGAGAAGTGTTTCAGATTATGGTTTTTGTTTGTTTGTTTATTTCAATATTTGCATATGCATAATAAGGTATCTTGGGAAATGTGATAAATTCTGATCTAGTACCCCCTCTCTGGCTTCCTCCCAAAAGTAGACATCCCCTCTTTGTTCTCATCTTCTTGAAATCTATGTGACGGTTCTTTTGTTTTTTCACCACCAGTCCCATGGACCAGGGCTCCTTCTCAGAGCCCTCAGTAGTAATCTGTGTTGATGGATAACCAGATACCACCTGGAACTATAATATAAAAAGTCTATACATGAAATTCCTTTGTTTCATATATGTCTTATACACATAGCCTGAAATGTAATCTTATACAGTATTTTAATAATTTTGTGCTTAAGGGCTGGGGACATAGCTCAGTGGTAGAATGTTTATGTAGCATTTGCAAGGTACTGAGTTCAATCCTTAGCACTATCAAAAGAAAAAGAAGAAACTGCATGAAGCAGTTTCATGGTACAGAATTTTTTACTTTTGATGTTATACCAGTGCTCAAAAGATTTCAGAATTTATAGCTTTGGGATTTTGAGTTAGGGTTGCTTAACCTACAGTGATTTTGTTTTTGGTGACTGATCTGAGAATTTGTAATAGAGATTCATATGTTGTTATTCATAAAATTTTGAGAGTTCACAGATCTTCTGTATTAGGATTTAAAGTTAAGAATTTATGTTTTCAGATAACATACGTTTTTACTCCAACTCATTATGGCATGGACTCTTAATTTGGAATCCTTAAATGGTATTAGCAGTTGATCTTTAGGGTTCAGGGGATTCTTAGATGAGATCTTAGAATTTTATTCTAGTTGTGTTCCCCAGTGAATTTTTCTGAGAAAAAATTTCTTCCAAAATATGTATCACCTATGATTAGTTAAAAACTTATAGAAATTCTGTTAGACATCTTCTTGTTAATATAACAAAAGACCAGAGATAGTCAACTTAAAAATAGGAAAGGTTTATTTTGGCTCATGGTTTCAGTTTATGGTTGATTGGCCCCATTGCTTTTGGGCCTGTGATGAGGCAGAACATCATTATGGGAATATATGGCAGAGGAAGCCCTCATCTCATGGCTGGATGCAAAAGAGAGAAGAAAGTATCATCCCACAATCCATTTCAAGGGCAATGCCCTCACTAATCTAAAACTTCCTATTAGGCTCCACTTCTTAAAGTTTCTACCATCAAGCAATAGCACCAAGCTGGGAGCTGAGCCTTTAACCCATGGGCCATCAGAGAACATTGAAAATCCAACTGTTGGAGAAGTTAAAAACTTTTATGCTGTGCCTTACTTATAGAGGGCCTTCTGTTCTAAATTTAAGAGGACATTTAGCTGAGCACAGTGGAACATGCCTATAGTCCCAGGGACATGGGAGGTTGAGTAGGAGGAGTCAAGTTTGAGGCAACTTAATAAGACTCTGTTTCAACACAAAAATTTAAAAGGGTTGAGGATGAAGCTCAGTGGTAGAGCACCCCTCCTACGTTCTGGATTCAAACCCAGTATTGCAAAAAAAAAGATTCTGTTCATCTGCCAGTCATGGTGGCATAGCTGGATGTGATGGTGTAGATCATGCCAATTATCCCAGCAACTGGGAAAGTAAGAAATTGAGAGGTAGATCCTGAGTATTACGTAGCAGTTATAAAACTATTCCTCTTTCATTATAGCCACATCTGGATTCATTGATAAATATGTCTTAGTTGATTCAGCAGTCCCACATTGAATTATTTGAGTTATTTACAATCTTTGGCTATTGCCAATAGTGCTTCAGTGAATAGCTCAGAGTATATGGGTTATGTGTATTTTGGGTGGGGGGGTTACTGGGGATTGGATTCAGGGACACTCAGCCACTGAGCCACATCCCCAGCCCTATTTTGTATTTTATTTAGAGACAGGGTCTCACTGAGTTGCTTAGCGCCTTGCTGTTGCTGAGGCTGGCTTTGAACTCTTAATCCTCCTGCCTCAGCCTCCTAAGCTGCTGGGATTACAGGTATGCACCACCATACCTGGCAATTATGTGTATTTTTGTTAGTGTGTTTTGAAATTACATTCTTAGAAGTAGGATGGTTGGATCAAAGTATAAATGTATATGTATTTTTTTGGTGGGGGGATACTAGGGATTGAATCCAGGGGTCCTTTCCCCACTGAACTACATCCCAGCCCTTTTATTTTATTTTGAAATAGGGTCTTACTGAGTTTCCCGGATTGGCCTTGAACTTGGGATCCTCCTTCCTCAGCCTCTGGAGATGCTGGGATTATAAGCATGTGTCACTAGGCTATATATGTACTTTTGTTGATGATTGACGAATACATCTCCATTTCTTATTTTTCCTGAACAGGTATGAAGAGTACCTGTTTCCACACAGCATATGTTGTCATCTATGTCAGGGCTATTTATATTCCTTTTGCTGTGAATCATCTGTAACTCTTGCCCATTTTTCTAAAGGGTCTTCGTTTTTAGTTTTGTGGGGGTTTTTTTGTTTTTTAAGAAACTCTATTAACCATTTGTGATGCTAGTTGCAGATACTTTTCTTACTTAATCATTTGTCTTTTTATGGGTTATTTCAATTTTTTCTGGATTTGAATCATACATAGGATACTTCCTCATTCTTAGGTTATATTAGATTACAGAAGAATTCATGTATGTTTTCTATTGCATATATGTTTTCATTTTTTACTCTTAAATCTCTGATCCATTTAGCATTCTTTTCTTTTTTTTTATTATAATTCCCATTTTATTTTTTTCTAGAAGATAGCTTTTCTTCACTCTTTAAGGACCTAGCTCTTACATGGGCTTTGGTGGAGGTCATGGGGTGGCACTAGCAGGTCTAAAACAGAGTGGGAGTATTCAGTCCTTCCAGGCTTCATGAGATTGATTCCTGACCACCTTGCTGTGAATTGCATAACTCACACAGTAATGCACCTTTACATGGAGCTTGGGAAACACATAAGCATTAAAATACTTGCTTTAGAAACGTCCCTGATGGCTGCGGTGTTTCAAATGGCGAACCTCTTAATGGCCTTGTCCTTGGCATGCACCTGGCACAGTTTGAGCAACAAATAGGCTGCACATGGCTGCGGCTTTTTTGGCCTGACCATTATTTCTTCTTTTTTTGGTATTTCTTCTCCATGGCATGGGCTCTCAATTACCCACAGCCCCAGAACCTCTTCCTCCTTTCAGCCTCTACCCAGACTTCCATGCTCCCTGTTTAGCATGAATTCTGGTATACGGTATGAGGGGGAAGATCTAATTTTATCTGGATCCATATGGGAATACAATACTTCTCATTAAATCACTTACTAAAAAGCTCTTTCTTCTCACACTGATTTGAGATGCTGTATTTTATTTCATTGTAGTATTTATCCCTGTACTCTCATTTTCCTTAACCTTATTAAGAAGTTTTAAAGGAAGCAAATTAAAAATGAATCTGACTTTATTAAACTATAACATACATTTGAATGGTACCATTATTTTCCTAATTTCACAATTCAAGCACAATTGAATTATTAACAAGGAAACTTCCAGGTTTCAAGTTCTGTTGATGAAGTGTTGTTTCTTTACAGTGCCACAAGGTTGCAGTAGTGAGAGAAGATAAATTGGAAGGTAGGTATTTTAACAGTTTAGTAAGTTTTTCCTTTTTCTTCTTATGGCATCAGTGTTGGTATAATAATAAATCTGCCCCTAACATCTGCATATAATATGTTAGCAATTTAGCCTAAGAACCCTGTGTTCTTTTTATTAGTAGTTTCTGAAACATGTTAAAATATGATACTTCATCTGCATAACTTCCCACTAAGTCAATAGCTTCTGACATTTATAAAGCACTTTTATCATAGGATTTTAAACCTCATGACAGACACGCAAAACTGTCATGTATATAATGTGGGCCATCTCATCCACTGTAAAAAGACAGTAGTCTGAATATTGCGCTGTATTTCATAACACATTTTTAGAGAAGAACATTGTAGAATGTTTTTCTAAAAGTCAGAAAGACTAATAAATTAAATAAATCCAACTGGGAGATATAGCTCAGTGTTAGAATGCTTGCCTAATGGGCACAGGTCCTGGATTTGATCCCTAGCATCAAACACACAAAAAGTCTGACTTTCAGTGCTATTAATGCTACTATTCTATTGTTTAAAAATCCATTTCAAAAAATAATATGACCCTCATGTCCTCATGATCTTGGGTCCATATCTGAAGACAAAACTTCACTGTTGTACCTTGTATATACAAAGGCTCCTGCCAGTGGAGTGCGATTTTTACCAAATTAATTCTGAAATATTCAAAGTGTTGGGAATGTCTAATTTTTCTATCTGGATTTCCACAGTGGAAGCAAAGCAAGCAGGCATTCATCATTTAGTATATGTGTATTGATTATCTACTGTGTGCCAAGCTCTATGGTAGGGAATGGGGACATGGAGCAAGTTAGGCCTAACCCCTTCCCTTGTGAAACTTAAATTTATGCTAGTTTTTCTTCTGCAGACTTATCTAGTTAGTTGTATTTTTGTTATATAGTTGCTTTCTCTAAAGTAAAATTGGGCTACATAAACAACTTTTTTCAGGTTGAGATTATTTAGTCTTTATATGCTAGTGTAAGGTTCTCCCTGACGGGGGCGGGGGGGAACCCATAATCATCATCAATCATTAATTAATATTTGCTGAGTGTCTACTGGATGAGTGATAATCTCACAGGTGATGTACTTAGAAATGATTCACCACCACCTACCTTGTCATAATGTCCCCATTGCAGACAGAAGAGTTGATATTACATTGTATATGTGGCTATTTGGCCTTTTAGAGTTTTTTAGACCACCACAGATTGCAAATGGTTTTAATGCAGAAGGGTTTCTTGTTAAAGTCCCCCATGCTATGAAGTTTGTGTATTAACAGACTGCTTTCCTGTTGACTTGTAGCAGTGAAGTCCAAGCTAGCTGTGACTGCCAGCATCCATGTGTACAGCATCCAGAAAGCTATGCTAAAGGACAGTGGGCCTCTGTTCAATACTGACTATGACATCCTTAAAAGCAACTTGCAGAACTGCAGCAAGTAAGCTCCTTAATGTTCCTTGTGGGCTTCTTTACGAATTGATTTTGTAAGATGTTTACACAGTGGCTGCCTCTTAAGAGTGAATGCCAAGTCTAGTAAAACCCCATTTATCTTGCAGTAAGACACATGCCTGGTTTTATTAGTACATCATAAGGTGAAAAATAGCAGCCACAACCCATATTGAAAACCCCAGTGGACTCCCCATAAATCTATTTCTCATATATTTATCCTGTCACCACCACCAGAAATGTTTGTTGTGTCCCCTCATTACTCCCTTACCCCAGTCTCTGCTGTCTAAATTCTACCCATCCTTCAAAAGCTAGTTCAAATATTGTCCTTCAAAAAATTATTCCTAATTTGATGTTCCTCTGCCTTCCATCCAAAAGCATCTCTTTCCTCTGTAGCTAGGATCAGATCTTGGCCATCTTTTGTATCTTCTACAGCACAGAGAGGTAATGGCCTATGATACCTGTACATTTTGGAAATTGATGATTATAGGCTTAAGTTGTACTTTGCTGCTTAATAGCCCAGTGCTTTGGACAAATTACATAAACTCTTTAAGCTTTGGTTTATTCATCCATAAATTAGGTATAATTTAGCCTGCTTAGTGGGATTTTATTGAGGGTTCAAGTCAATTCCCCAAACATACATAGTGAGCACCTACTGCTTTGACACATACTAAGCAAGGTAATTTGAATTCATTCAGCAATATCTGATGAATCCCTATGAAATGCCACACACTATAGATTGAGTATGTGCCAGTACTTGTTCTAGGGCTAATTGTCTGATGGGAGATGAGCAGTTACAGTACAGCTTGGCAGTGCAATCACAGGAGGAATAGTGTAAAAGATATTGGGGATGGGTAGTTCTCCCCACTTCTGGATGAATGAGGCAAGGGGCAAGACAGAGAAGGCTCCCTAAAGTTTAGGACAGCTAAGTTGATGACTGAAGGCCCAGTACAAATAGGCAGGCAAAGAAATGGGAGAGTAAATACAGCTAAGAGAAAACATGCTTGTGTGGAACCATGATAATCATCTATGATTGAACTTAGAGTAAGAGGTAAGAAATAATTAGAAGACTAGAGAAGTCTGAAAGGAGTCAAATTATGCTTTGACTACTAGGAAATGGAGTTTAGCTTTGATTCTGAGCATCTGAGAACCACTGAACATTTTCAAACAGGTGGATGAAATGATCATAACTGTACTTTAGAAAGGTGACCCTGGCTATGATGTTGGAGGTAGATCAGAAGGAAATAATCTGGAAGCAAGGACATGAGAGTGGAGAAATATCTCAGTGATCCAGTGTGCATTTGACAGTTATCTGAATTGAAGTAATGGTATTGGGTGGAGAGGTATGAAGGTTGAAAACTCTTCAAAACCTCTAAGTATGGTAGTGGCTGGGGATAAGGTGTGTGTTTGGAGGTCACTGTTCATGGTGTTAAGTATGATCTCATGTTTCTGGCTTGGTCCTATGAGTACTAAAAGAGAATTTAAGAGAGATTGGCTTTAGGAAAAGAGGGGGAAATGTTGGATTGGATTTTAGACATGTTGAGTTTGAGAAGCCTGTAGGAAATCCCGATGGGAATGTGCATTCCATTAGATAGGTGAGTCTAGAGCTAACAAAAGCGGTAAAGACAGAGATTTTAGAATCAAAGGAGGTAAGTAAACAGTCAGGCCATGGCAGCAGATACAGTCATGCAGAGACTTATAGAATGGAAGAAAGGCAGAAAGTAAAACTCTAGGCCACAATTAGTAGCTGTGTGACCTTGGGAAAATTGTTTCTCTGTGATTCAGCTTCCTTACCAGTAAAATTGATCTAATAGTACCATCCTCACAGGGCTATAGAGGATTAAATAAATTAAAATATGTGAGCTCTTACGAATAGTCTTTGGCACATAGTAAGCACTATTTAGTGATAGTTATTTTTTTTTTTTAATAGTTGTAGATGGACACAGTATTTTTATTTATCTTTATGTGGTGTTGAGGATTGAACCCAGGGCCTCAGCGAGGCAAGCACTCTACCACTGAGCTACAATCCCAGCCCTAGTTATGGTTATTTTTAAAGAGATGGTCAGAAAAAGAGGGGTGCTAGAGTAAGCAGCCAGAGAAAAGAGGAAAATTGCACAAGGACATGGGATTCCAGAAGCTGAAGGAAGTTTTAACAAGGATGGACTGGTAGACATTGTTAAATGTTGCTGAATAGCCAAGTAAAGTAGGAACTGAAAAGTGTCCACTGGATCTAGAGATAACCTTGACAAGACAGTTTTTCAGGGCAAGGACCAGATGCTAGTCAACCAAGTAAATGGGGAACAAGGAGAATTGAGACAAACTGATATGAACAACTCTTCTTGGAAAATTTAACTGTGAAAATGGGAGGGAAAGAGAGCGGTAGCTGAGAAGTTGAGATTGAGGAAGGATAATATACAGTTTTAAAGTCAAGAATGCCTTCAAGTTGTATTATTAAGAAACTCTCATAGGAAAAGGTTGAGGGTCCTGGGGTAGATGGGATAACTGATAGAGACTGGTCCTTGAGAAGAAATAGATATAGAATTGCCAAAAATAGTTAAGTTCATGAGAATAGGGACTGTGTCTATTTTGTTAACTATATACCCAAAAATAGTGCCTAGCATTTAGTTAGCATTCAGTAATGCTAACTAATGTTCTTTATAATGTTCTTTAATAATTGTTTAATAATTGTTCTTTAGTTTGAAACTTTGATTATATAGCTATTCAAATATTTATTAAGTAAATAAATGTAATTATATAGCCAGAGAGTCATAATTTTATAAGTCCAGTGTCTTTTAGGGAAGGATTTCAAGAGTACTCTGATAAGTTTATATAAAATATGTTGTTAGATTTTAAAAATAATCTGCATTAAAATCTTATCATGGCATGTCAAGTTCTTAAAACCAGTTCTGTTATAGCTAGCAAGTAAGCAAACAAGAATAAAAGTGACTCACAAGTTCAAAATGAAATTTGCCCAGGGCCCACTAAAATAAACAGGGCAAGTAGAAATGTGGTAATAGGATGCACTTCAGTGAAACTTTACCTAAATTCTTCAAGTATCCTTGGTAGAAATGTGAAGAATTTATCTCCAATAAAGAAGTTTGTGTTTGGTCCTGAGAATTATGGGCCAACTGAGATCTGACTCATGGTTTCATGTGTTTTAAGTGCTATGACAGGAAGAAAATTGAAATTTTAGGATTAAGCAGATTCTTCACTCTTCAGACATGCTCCCAACCTAACTTGGTCTCTTCCTCATTGCCTGTTCCTGGTTTTGACCCTAAGGCGTGGAATGCAGACCAAATGGAGAAAGAATTGTCTGAGGGCCAACTTTATATGTTGACAATGAAATAAAACATTGCCCTTTTCCTTGTGCATGGAAGCACTGCAAGGCCAGAGAGGAAGAACAGTGGGTGAAAGTAAATGTTTTCCGTCTGTTCTTAGCTCTGATACACCAAAGATGTGTTTTAATGTAGGGTTTTCTGCTGGGATCATAATGAATCAGTGTAAGATATTTGGAGCTGTAAACTCTAGCTTTAGAGCTTTTCGAGTCTAATGTTATTTCTGAATTGAAATGATATATTAGGGATTTTTTTTCCTTACGCCACTGATTCCAACAGTTAATGTTGAAGTTGTATTTGTGATTTCTGGTAATTGCTGTCACTGCATAGTTTCTAAATCTTCCCCATCTCCCACTCCAAATTGAGGTGATACACTAAAGAAGGGAGACAAACCAGAAACCTCACTTTCAGTGGCTTAAATAGTCTTTCTTTCAACATGTTTTTTCTGAAACTTGCTGTATGTCAGATTTTGTGTCAGGTGACTGGAATATGAAAGATGAATAAGATCTTCAGGGAACTCTCACCTACCCGATTAAGCAACAAACTAGGGGAAGCAAAATGTTTTGATATGGAAAGTTGAAGAACTTTGCTTTATGTAGAGCCCTTTGTGAAAGCTGAATCAGTTACCCATTCACAATGTGGAACATTACATTATATATTGGTGTGAAGTAGGCATACCTACAATTTAGAGAATAAGAGATGAATATTCCCTTTAATAGGCCATGCAGATCATTCACCATATTCCTTCACTTGGCCTTCAGCATAATACTTGTCTGCTGTTGCTAGTTGGTACTATTAGAAATTAGTAGCAAATGTTTGACTTCATAATGGCTGCCATTCTTACTGGAGTGAGATGGTATCTTAGAGTGGTTTTAATTTGCATTTCTCTGATTGCTAGAGAAATGCAAATTAAATTATGAAGTCAAACAATAACAAGTGCTGGCCAGGATGTGGGGAAAAAGGTACACTTGTACATTGCTGGTGGGACTGCAAATTGGTGCAGCCGATTTGGAGGGCAGTATGGAGATTCCTTGGAAAGCTGGGAATGGACCCACCATTTGACCCAGCTATTCCCCTTCTTGGACTACACCCAAAAGACCTAAAAAGAGCATACTACAGGGACACAGCTACATCAATGTTCATAGCAGCACAATTCACAATAGCTAGACTGTGGAACTAATCCAGATGCCCTTCAACAGATGAATGGATTTAAAAAAATGTGGCATTTATACACAATGGAATATTACTCAGCACTAAAAAAATAACAAAATCATGGCATTTTCAGGGAAATGGATGGCACTAGAGCAGATTATGCTAAGCAAAGTTAGCCAATCCCTAAAAAACAAATGCCGAATGTCTTCTCTGATATAAGGGAGGTGACTCAAAACAGAGTAGGAAGGAGGAGCATGAGAAGAAGATTACCACGAAACAAGGAAAAGAGGTGGGAGGGAATGGGAGGGAGAAGGGGAATTGCATGGAAGACGGAAGGAGACCCTCATGGGTTCACAAAATACATATATGATAGTGTGAGGGGGAAGGGAAGAAAAAAAAAGAGTTAAGTGTCACAGTAGAATGGGTAGAGAATAGTAATGGGAGGGGAGGGGAGGGGAGGATAGGGAGGGCAGCAGAATACAACTGACACTAGGATTGCTGTATGTATACACATGGATGTATAACCAATGTGATCCTGCAATCTGTACACATGGAAAAATGAGAATTCATACCCTGTTTGAATCAAATGTATGATATGTCAAGATCATTGTATTGTCTTGAGCAACTAATAAAAAAAGAAAAGAAAGAAAGAAATTAGTAGCAAATGGCTGTGAAGGACCACAAGTTATAAGAGCCAGTGACTCTGTTTGTTTTTTGGGTACTAGAGATTGAACTCAGGGGCACTCGACCACTGGGCAGCATCCCCAGCCCTATTTTGTATTTTATTTAGAGACAGGGTCTCACTGAGTTGCCTAGTGCCTCGCCGTTGCTGAGGCTGGCTTTGAACTCGCAATCCTCCTGCCTCAGCTCCCAAGCTGCTGGAATTACAGGCATGCACCACTGCACCCTACGGAGCTTTTAGTTTTGATTCAGTCAATAGTTGTTGCGTATCTGGCCTTATAAGAGGAAGGTCCTTAAATAAGGGATAACCATTTGGTTTCCTAAGGATGGAAAAATTATTAAATCTTTTATTATTGTTTTGTATATTCTTATTTATTTTAAATTAGGATTTTTTTTTTTTTTCCAAAAAAGCAAGAGTATTCAATAAGGTATTCCAAATACCTTATTTGATTCCAAATCTAGCTCTATTACTAACTGGATGGATAACTTAGAACAGATCACTTATTTCTCTCCAATTATTTATCTAAATGAAAATTTTGTACAAAAGTTTTTCCAAAATCCATTCTAGTTCTAACATTCCCTAGTTTTATAATATTAGGGGTTAGAAGGTACTATGTGAAAGAAACAAGAGTTTGAAAATAAGAGTTTGATACTGGCATCAAATTAATATTACCATTTTGTCTTTAGATTTAGTGCCATACAATGTGCAGCTGCGGTCCCTAGAGCTCCCACAGAATCCTCATCTTCTAGCAATTTTGAACAGTCCAATCTTCAGGCATCCAGTGAGACACAAGCCAGTAATGAGCTGACAACCAATGGTCATGGCCCACCTGCCTCCAAACAGGCTTCCCAGCAGCCCAAGGGAATTATGGGAATGTTTGCCTCCAAAGCTGCTTCTAAAAGCCAAGATACAAACAAGGAGACCAAAATAGAGACTAAAGAAGTAACAAATGTAAGTTGTCTTTGAAAATGGACCTTTATTACAGTGTGGAATGTTATCCAGGAAAGCATTACTAGTGCCCTTGGTAGTTTAATTATGTAAGGTTCTGACATTTAGTTCTGATTTTTCTACCACTTTGATCCCTGTAATACTGTATTCTCAAGTCCTTTTTCTTTGGCTGATACTTGTCACTGATGCTTGCATTCCCTTTCTATAAAATGGTAATGCCTACCCTATACACATTGTAAGATTATTATGAGAGCCCGTTGAAATAATGCATGTGAAAATGCCTCAAAAATTACAAAGTTCAAGAAATTGTGTATTAGCAATGTGTCATTTTGAGAATATCTTATATTCTGGTCTTTGCCATATATACCTTCCTAGTGTAGTTAACGTTTTTATTTTATGAATCTTTTCCTTCTTTCTCTTCTCTTCATGTTTTTTATTGATTAGTCATCTAAACTCACTTATTTGGGTATTGACTTAATAAAAATGTCAGGTGCCATTTAAAATATTCAGGAAAGTATGGCATTGTTACTACTGTTATCATCACTGTCATTTTCAAGCTTTTGCTCTGGGAGAGGAAAAGAGGGGTGGAGGGAAACAAAACATTTATTGATTTGGTTTGATCTTCGCTTAAATCCTCCTTTTTTTTTTTTAATATTTATTCACAATACCTTTATTTCACTCTTTTAATTTTTACGTGGTGCTGAGGATCAAACCCAGGGTCCCGCGCGTGCGAGACGAGCGCTGTACTGCTGAGCCATAACCCCAGCCCTTAAATCCTCTTATCAATTCTTTTTGGATCTTACCATTTTTATATTATATGTAATAAAACTAAAGCCTAAACTTATAACTTGCGTAGAGGTTATACTGCTGTTAAATGTAGAACCAGGGCCAGGATTGTGGCTCAGCGGTAGAGCACTTGCCAAGCATGCATGAGGCACCAGGTTCAATCCCTGGCACCACGTAAAAATAAACAAATAAAATGAAAGTGGAAAAAAAAAAAAGTAGAACCAGGATTCAAGTCTACTACTGATTATTAAAAACGTAATATTTTGTTTCCCTCTTTGCTGTATTGCTTCTGATCTTTTTTAATCCTCTTAATCTAAATTGTTGTAAAATATGCTCAAGAAAAACCTAAACATATCCATGGATAATAATAATTTTTATAAGAACTATGAGAAGTAAAGCTTTGGAAATTAACATTTGATACTATAATCTAATACTTACACATTTTCACATGATTACATAGAGTCTGTACCACTGGCCAGTGCTCTGTTATTGAAGAGATTGTTCAAGACAATGCTACTTTAAGAGGAGCCTAAACACTAGAAAAAAAATCATGTGTTTTCTTTTCCATGTTTTTAGGCATCTTCAACAGGCAGCAAAGTACCAGGAAAGGGGAATGTGATGAGCAATTTTTTTGGAAAAGCTGCTATGAGTAAGCATGTTTTTATTTTCCTTTGACTAATAAGTGAATGTTAATGAAATAACATTTTAAACCTGAGATGAATGCCATCTTATCCAGTTTTTGCCCATCCGGGCACTCCTGCTTCCTTGCATACATTTGCAATATACTAATCATATGTTGATGAAAGTAATGAACTGACAAGGTGAATTTTCTGGGTTAGCTGGGCTCAGTTGAGATATCTTGGAAGGTAGTTTACTATTTGAACTTCTACTTACTGCCTTGACAAACAAGAATGATGTATTTACTTGATAAACCTCTTGAAAATGGATGTTCAAAACAAAAGGGAGACTGCCTATTTACACAGTATAATGTTGAGGTCAGTGTCATTGATATTGCCATCACTTTACTTGTATGACTTTAATTATTCCTGTGTCCCAAAGGGCCTCAAAAGCAAATCTTTTGCCTTTCTTTAGTTATTTTTTTTAATTGGTTCTTCTTACTTATACATGACAGTAGAATCCATTTTGATAAAATTATACAAGTATCTTATGCTAATTAGGACCCCATTCTTGTGGGTGGGCATGATGGTGAGATTCACTTAGGTATTTTCATATGTGTACATAGGAAAATTATGTTACATTTATTCTACTGTCTTTCCTTTTCCTATTCCCCCTTCCTTCATTTTGTTCCCCTTTGTCTAATCTACTGAATTTCTCCTCTTCCTCTCCCCCACCCTTAATTGTGGTTTAGCTTCCACAAATCAGTGAAAATTTGTAACCTTTGGTTTTTTTATATTGCCTATTTCACTTAGTATGATAGTCTCCAGTTCAATCCACTTGCCAGCAAATGTCATAATTTCATTCTTCTTTATGGCTGAGTAATATTTCATTGTGCATATATAGCATACTTTCTTTACCCATTCATCTGTTGATGGGCATCTAGGTTGGTTCCATAGCTTAGCTACTGTGAATTGTGCTGGTATAAACACTGATGTGGCTGGGTCATTGTAGTATGCTATTTTTAAGTCCTCTGGGTCAAATAGTCATTTCATTCCTAGTTTTTTGAGGGATCTTTATACTGCTTTTCAGAGTGGTTGCACCAATTTGCAGTCCCACCAAAAATGTATGAATGGGGCTCCTAATTAGAATAAGATATATTCTGTACTTGTATAATTTTATCAAAATGGATTCTACTACCATGTACAACTAAGAAGAACCAATTTTAAAAAGCAGGGAAAGCATTCTTGCCAACATGTGTTGATACTTATATTCTGGATAATTGCCAGTCTGACTGGAGTAAGATGAAATCTCAGTGTAGTATTTTTTTTTACTTATTTTTTTGTACTAGGATTGAACCCAGGGATGCTCAACCACTGAGCCACATCCCCAGTTATATTTGTATGTGAATGTGTGTGTGTGTGTGTGTATTTATTTATTTTAAAAAATATATATGTATACACACACACATATAATTTTGAGACAGGGTCTCATTAAGTTGCTGAGGCTGACATTGAAATCATGATCCTCCTGCCTCTGCCTCCCAAGATGCTGGGATTATAGATGTGCGCCATTGGGCCCAGCTCAGTGTAGTTTTAATTTGCATTTCTCCAATTGCTAGTGATGATGAAGATTTTTTCATAATATTTGTTGATCATTCACTTAGAGTATTCACAATAATGAATTAGACCTCATTATGATTTTGACAAGCCCAAGTAGTAATGGTCATTTAAACATAGTTTTTGGGAAACCAAAACTCTCCCATATTTAGAATAATAATAAGTCTTTCTTTTGGAAAAAAAATCAATTGTCACATTTTTTTTTTACTTCTAATATCAAGTACACAACCTCTGAGGATATGTGACAAAATACTAGGATAGAAACAACTCAAGAGAAGCAGAATAATTATGGCACACTTCCCTGGAGTCTCAGTTTTGCGAAGAGTTTTTAGGGAAAAATTTTGTTACATGCAAGGAAAATTAGTCGAATTCTGCCTCTGATGGCCAAATTGGTAGCCAAGGAAGGGACTAAGGTAATAGTGTCTTGTTTACCATGAAAGCTATCAAAGAAGAACATTTGTGTTCTGAAAGCATATAGAAAATGTTATACTTTCAGGTTATTGAGAAACAACATTTGTATTATTACAGGCACAGTGCATCAAAGGGCTTCTGTGAAAACACATCATGCTGATGTCACTGTACTGGGCCACCCAGTACCCAAGCAAATTATGGTTTCTTGGCAATTTTGATGAGACCCAGGAGTTGGTGGTGGTTTTATGTTTGTAACCTTAAGAAACAGTGATATTTTAAATTAGTATTTTAAAAATACATAAGATACTTGAATATTTGCTTGTTTTGAAAAAAATACCAAACTGAACATAAAAATAGACTTATTTATTCATGTGTTTATTTAACAAATATTGATTGAGCACCTACTGTGTGTACTGGTGGTACAATGTTAAACAAAAGACAAAAGGCCCTTGGCTGTAATGTTTTACTAGGAGAAGACACACAAATGGGAGAGAGAGAGAAATATATAGAAAAAAATAAAATAATCAGTGTAATTGCTAGACAGATGTTATGATAACATGTAATAGAGGAAGAGGGAAAACCTGGACAAAGTAAGAAAATTATTCACCTAATAAAAGAATCACTTACAAAGTTGATTTATTTAACAGATGTTCTTAAAGGCTGAATGTTCAGGGTAAAATTATGATTTTTTTATTGCATTTGACACATGACAAGATCATTGCAATGAAAATAAGCTCTAGAATTGGATGAAGAGAGTTTATTGTGGGGACTTGAACTATTTAAATTTAATGCTGGATGATAGCAAGTGTTGGCAAGGATGTGGAGAATTTGAACTCTCATACGTTGCTGTGGAAAGTGTAAAATAATGTACTTACTTTGGAAAATGGTTTGTCAGTACTTTAAAAAATGAAACCAGAGTTACCCAGTAATTCCATACCTAGGTATCAGGTGAATTAAAACAGTATTCCCACACAAAAACTTGTACAAAATGTCCATAGCAGCATTTTTCATGATAACCAAAAAAGTGGCAACAATCTAAAAATCATTTACATGAATGGATAAACAAAATGTGGTATATCCAGACAGTGAAATATTATTTGGCCATAAAAAGGAATGGCATTCTATCATTTGCAACATATTTATTCTCCTGTTCAGTTTGGGATGTACTGATGGAAAGTTTGAAAAGCAGTGGTACTTGAGAACAACAGTATTGAAAATGCAAGCAAATGTATCATCATTGGCTGATGGATTCCACCATTCAGGTTTCTCATTCAAGTTTTCAAAAGTATAAATGGATTGCATTTTACATTCAGATCCATCCCTTACACTTTCAAGTAATATACATGACAAAAAATCATTATTCTAAGCTGTGCATAACAGCCAAAACTACAATGTCAGTGTTTTGTTTTGTTTTGTTCTATTTTTCCTACACAATAGATGGTTTAAACTATGATAAAATTTGCAACCAAACCTTTTTGAGGAGTCTCCGGCTGGTTTACAGCTTTCTATTTGTATTTTGTGACCTTGCTGGCAGAAAGCTATTCTTGAGTTCAGCTTGAAACCAAGATTATATGCTTCTATAGTTTCTCAGATGACTAGGCCCACCCTGTTTGCAGTTCTTAGTCTTCTGTGTTGCACAGTAGTTGTTTTCGTGTTCTTTAGTTTCGTGTAGGAAAGAGACCAGAATTTTGAGGAGTTAAACCAGGTCCTTATCTTCACTTTTACTTTTTCTATCAGTGTTCCTTGGGTAAGTCATTTAACTCTTATAATGCATTTTTTGAAACCTTATGAAAATCTTGTATCTATTATCCCAATTTTTACAGAGAAAAATGACTTTTAGATAAAATAACTTGCTCAGGAGGAAAGAGGATTTGAACTAAAATATGTCTTTCAATTTTATCATTAAAATAATATAAGATATAAGATAGCCTGGTATTAAAAGGTTGAATATGATAGAAAGGTCTTGCTACAAATTCTGTTGATGTCATTTGTAAACTATGTATTCTTGGGAAGCATCTTTTAATTCCTGTGATTCTTAGTTTTCCTTATCTAAAAAATTAGAAAGATGATACCTCACAAAGTTGTGTTTCTAAGCCTTATTTTTACTATCATTTGGCCTGGGGGCTGTGATATGATGAGAGATTAGTGGAAGGCAGAAATGAAAACAGTTATAGCTAGAGTAGTCATCAAAAAGGAGAAATATTTTCTGAATAGACTATGGGATCTGTTAGGAAGAGAGAGACTGTTTTTTATCCTTTTAGCCTTGCTGCTAATATGTTACCTGGCGCATAGTGGACTGTCAAAAGAATGATGGATTAATATTGCACCATGGGGTTATGTATCGTCAGCTATACTTTATTTGTAGATAAACTTAAAGTCAATTTGGATTCAGAACAAGCTGTGAAAGAAGAAAAAATAGTGGAGCAACCTCAAGTGCCTGTCACTGAACCAAAACTGGCAACTCCTGCAGACCTGAAGAAATCCAGCAAAAAAGCAGAGCCTGTTAAGATGCAGCAGAAGGAAAAAAAATGGTAGGAAAATTTTGTCGCTTGTGAGGGAAGAGTGTCTACTGGGGGTGAGAGGTCTATTTGGGCTTATTGACAGAGGACACTTTTCAGTTGAGTAGTAAATCCTTCTTAATGCCTTAGGGATACAACCACACAACCAAAATGGAGAGAGAAGCTTAGTAGCTTATCTAGTGAAATAGTCTTGTGAAATCAAGACAGTTTGGGTGATTTAGGGCCCAAAGTTTCATTTTTGCTTCATTGATCTAAATTGATAATCCTTTTTCTCCTTACTTAATTTTAAACATGTGGACATGGTATAAGTACCTAAAAGTGTGTGTGAGTGTGTGCGTGAGCATATGTGTTTTACTTCAAGCTGCCAAATGAAAGGTTACTGTTTCCAGTCAAATTTAAGAGAAAAAGTTCTTTGTTTTCTTTTTATATCAATGAGTTTATTTTTCAAGTGGTAAAATGTAATTAGAAAAGAAAATAAAAAGCACACAAGCTGTTAAAAATGGATCCAGGAATTTGAGACACTACCTCATAGTTGGTAGGAATTAGTCTGTTGAAAGAAATTCTAAAGGACACTGTCAGCACTGATAGGCCCACAAAGACCTGACTTTTGTGGCAAAGTTGGGGTAACTTTAGTAGAAAACATCAACAAAATGGTGCTGTTTCAGAGGGTTAAGGCTCTGTCTAGTAGACCTTGCCTCCTAGGAACATGTGATACATATGGATTAAAATGTCCCAAACTGTGGGTATAATACTTACTGTTGGTGGTTATTGCCAGGAATGCATTCAGTATTTCATTACTAAACGTGATACTAAGTGTACATTTTTAGTAGATGCCCTTTACCAGGTTGAGTTTTTTTTCTAAGCTGAGAGATTTGATCATGAATAGATGTTGAATTGTTGTTTTTTTGTTTGTTTTACAATATCTTCATTTATTTATTTTTATGCGACACTGAGAATCGAACCCAGTGCGTGCGTGCCTCACGCATGTGAGGCAAGTGCTCTACCACTGAACTATAACCCCAGCTTGGCTGTTGAATTTTAATAGATAATTTTTTCTGCATTTATTGAGATGCTTATGGTGTTTCTGCTACTGTGGTGAATTATACTGATTGATTTTTTTAAACTGTTAAACCAATCTTGCATTCTTGGGATAAACTTCACTTGGTTGTGATGTATTATTTTTATATTTTGCTGGGTTGGATTTATTAATATACACTAAGGATTTTTTTCCTCTCTTTTTACGGGAACTGTAGGTCAGTTCTTTTCTAGTAATGTTTTTGCCAAGTTTTAGTGTCAAGGTTGTGCTAACTTTACAAAATTAGTTGAGAAGAGTTTCTTTGTTTTCCAACGGAATTTGTATAGATATATTTGTTTCTTAAATGTTTGATAAAGTTCATCAGTGAATCTAGGCTTGGATTTTCTTCATAGGAGGTTTTTTGAAATTGTGAATTTGATTTTTTTTAAATAGAGTTATTCAAACTTTCTAGTTTTTCTTGGATCAGTTTTGAGTAAGTTGTAATTTTAAAGGAATTCTAAGTTATTGAGCTTGTTAGTATAAAGTTGTTAATAATACAGCTTTGTTCTTTGAATATCTGTGGAATCTGTAGTTATCACTAAAAAATTCATTTTTACATTTCTTTTTTTAAAAAATTATTTTTTAGTTGTAGGTGGACAGAATACCTTTATTTTATTTTCCTGTGGGGCTAAGGATCGAACCCAGTGCCTCACGCATGCTAGGCGAGTGCTCTTCCTCTGAGCCACAACCCCAGTCCCTCATTTTTACATTTCTGATTGGTGAGAAACTTTTCTTTTTTTAATCAACCATGTAAAAAGTTTATTAACTCTATTTTTACCCCCCAACTGACAACTTTTCACTTTAATTTTGTTTTCTATCACATTGATTTCTGCTCTTTATTATTTCCTTTTACTTACTTTGAGCTTAGTATATTCTTTTTCTAGCTCAAAATAGAAGAAAGGTTGATATTTAAAAATAAGTAAGACATAAGGTGCTTGATGACAAAGGATGTGTCTTAATTCCTATTCATTTCTAATACATGATGTGCCCTGGATAAATTATTTGTTGATTAAATGAATTTTGGTGGAATATCCAGAGAAGCTAAATAATATCAAGATGAAGTCTAGGTTTTTTTATTATTCATAAGAATCACCTTATGGCCTTATGTCATGTCTTTGTTCCTATTGGTTTTTCCCTTTAAAATATTTCTCTTTTCTGATGAACTTTTACTTAGATTTTAAAGTTTTCAAGTAATAGTCATGCTTTGTATCTTTTTTTTCCATTAAAATTTATTATATTGTATTATATAGCTGGTTATGTCAGCCAGAGCTTCTTGAGAACAGTCTTTCCTTCCTGATCTTTGCATCCTCTGTGTTTAAGCAAAGAGCCTTATATATAGGTAATAGCTGCTTATTTAATTCATGTCAAATGACTAACAGGCCAATGGGGAAAGTAAGAAAGCATTGAGAAAAATTCTTGATAACCTGGTTGCAGTTGCCAGTGGTCTACAGAGAGCTAGAGAAATTTTTTATTCTGGTCACCTTCTGAAGTGACCTAGCTATGGTTGGTTGACAGTATATCCTTAAAAAGAATCTTTATTGGTATACTTTGATTATTCTTTTCTACCCTCTGGAATTAAGACCATGAGTTATAAAGTGAGATTCATAGGAGCATGTAAATACTTACATTTTTGCTCTATGTAACATGCTTAATTTATTCCTGATGGCAACAGGGGGAAGCGAGTAGATTTATCTGATGATGAAACAAAGGAAACTGAAATCATGAAGAAAAAGAGGCGAAGAATCAAACTTCCTCAGTCTGATAGCAGTGAAGATGAAGGTGGGTATTGCTATTAATTTTTTTATTAAGAGTATCAATTCTTATGATGCTGAAGGAGCTAAAAAGTAATTTATTATGGGTCATAATGAGAGTAGTAATCCTAGCACTGAGAGAATATAGCATCTATTTTTGTTTGAAATCTACTTTAGCCTTTTGACCAGAACCATGACCTTTTGGTAACTCGCCAAAATAACCAACAAAAAGGGAAAGAGGATAAGTACTACTAGTATACATACTGTCTAATACGTTTTCTTTCTTTCTTTTTTTTTTTTAAGGGGGTGTATTCCTTTGGCTACCTTATTGTGAATCTTAAGAATTGTAATGTTCTAGGAACCGAGGATATTGGTGTTCCACACCATAGAAATAAAATCATGATAAAAATGTTGTTGAAAGGGAATGTCACTATGGACCCTTCTAGTTTTAGACCATGGGCAATGATAGATAAGCAAACAGAATAAGAGCAAGACTCTGGCCAGGAAAATTAATATGTTTTTTAAAAGAATGTCAACTATTCTTAAGAACCAAGATATCATACCACATAATATAGAGGAAAGTATACATAGAGAGGCTAAAGAGAAAGATAGCTGGGATGAATTTATATGCTGGATATGCTACCTTGAAAGTCATGCTTGTAAAACCAGTTGGTGAAAAGCTTAAGCTATCATGATCAGTTCTCCAAGAATTCCTGGCATAAACCATTTTAGGTACTAGGGGGAAATCCAATCCAAAGGAGTTCAGTATCACTAAAAAGTACATACACAATGCAAATAAACTGATAGTAAAAGGGATTAAAGAATAACGAGGAACTGGGGTTATAGCTCAGTTGGTAGAGTGCTTGCTTTGCGTGCACAAGGCCCTGGATTCAATTCCCAGTGCCAAAAAAAAAAAAAAAAAATGCAAAAGAGGAACCTACTGTTGCTGTCAAAGAGGTTTCCCACAAAAGGATAGTAATAGTGAGTTAAGAAACAAATTGTATATGTAGATGACTGTATTGCAAATGAACAGATCTAAAAAATAGCCCTAGGAAGTTGAATCTCTGGGGTAGAAGTACCATTTTGATTCTTACAGATTTAGGGGTAAACCATCAGCCTAATATACATTTAAAAGGTAAACTAAGGGGCTGGGGTTGTGGCTCAGTGGTAGCGCACTTGCCTTGCATGTGTGAGGCATTGGGTTCGATTCTCAGCACTGCATATAAATAAATAAAATAAAGTTTTATCAACGACTAAAAAAATATTTTTTTAAAAAAGGTAAGCTAAGCCTGGAAATGTAACTCCTGTGGTAGAACACTTGCCTAGCATGGTGTGAGGCTCTGGGTTCGATCCTTAGCACCACTGGGAGAAGGAGAAGAGAGAAGAAAAAAAAAGCAACAAAACACTAAATACTCTAGTAGTAGTGAGAGTCAGCTTTAAATCAAGGAATTACTATGGTTGATGGAACATCATTACATAATTCTGAAATGTTCTCCCTAGTTTCTGATCCATAGCCCACAAAAATAATAATACCCATGGGTGATTAGAAATATGGGTGGAGCTATTTAGTTTGGAAAGGAATGTAAAGAAATGTGATAGAGGTGAGCAACCTAAAGTAACAGATGACAGAGAGCCAGAGGCTCTCAAATATTCTCCCCTGGCAAGATACTTTTTGGCCCCTGACTAAATTTATAAACCTCTGCCATTTTATTCTTAAATTTCTTTGTCTCAAAGCCAGTGTTATTTTAAATCTTTACAGCCTCTAACATATTATCATTTTATTTCTGTTGCACTAATTATATGATGTTAGCTATCTTAAGCTAGTAGTTAGCAGGGAAGCAGCAAGAATGGAGGAAATGTAAGGACTTTGAAGTTGGACTGTGTTTAAATCTCCCCTGCACCACTTAACTATGTGACTTTAGGCAGATGACTTCACTTCTTTAATTTCTTGTTTCCTCATCTTTAAAATACCTTTCTTAAGGTAAGGCTAGATATTTTAAAAACTTAGGTCCTAGGAAGCTGCGAATGCTTTCCAGGAATTCTAATGACCCATCTCTGCCAGAGGACTCTTAACAAACAAGTGGTTCCATTGCTGGATCCCTGAAATTAGTTTTACCACAGTTCTTATTCTGCCCCAACAAAAGTTGCTTTCCTGGCTTAAGTTCTGTTTTACTACTTCAGTATCTTTCATCTGAAGAGTTGCAGATTTGCTATAAATATACATGGATGCATCCAACTTCCATAGGTTTATGTCACTAAAAATATATTGAGTTAGAAAGCTCGACTTGATGGTTAAGTACTAAGGCAAACTGACATTGTATTCTATTCCAGCATATGAATGTGGGCAATTTTTTTTTTTTAATAGTTGTAAATGGACAGAATGCCTTTATTTTTTGTTTATTTTTATGTGGTGCTGAGGATCAAACCCAGTGCCTCATGCATACTAGGCAAGCATTCTGCCGCTGAGCTATAGCCCCAGCCCTGGGCAAATTTTTTTAAGAAATGTTTTTGAAATCTTAGGTGTTTAAAACACATAGTAGAGATTTGTGGGGTTTTATCAGAAAAAATGATTAGCGTTTGTAAAGTCTAGAAAATTTTAGTTTTTTTCTACCCTTCCTTAAAATATTTTTTAAAGTTTAAACAAAGTAGTAGATAAACATAATTTCAACTCAGAAGTTTTATAATAGATAGTAATCTCTATCATCTGAATCATGTAATTGATGATTCCTTGTCACTTTTCTCCCATCTGCTCTCCATCTTCCAGGCATGGGTTGAAATTTCTTCTTTATTAAGGACTCTTGATTCTTTCTCTGTTCTCTTCTCTCTTATGAGGGGGGATCACAATATTCCTTTATTATAATATTTCTCTTGGGGACATGTTAAAGGAAGAGTCTGTGCTGAGTCTTCCTTAACCTGGATGTTCCTCATCCTAAATTTAGTTCAGAAAATTATTATTTTTCTTTATTAAAAAACAAACAAAAAAAATATTGCTCTGTGGTGCCAGGGGAATTGTGGCATCCCTGCCTCTTTGGAGCACAGAGTCTGGAGGGTGGTTGTGGGTAAACACACAGCTGCAATGCAGTGTGGTAAGAGGGGTCTAAGCTGGTGCTACTGGGATTAAGTGTTTTCCTTGGATAAGTCAAGTGGTTGCAGAACTGGAAATAGAATAAGTAAATTTATTACTGTGAGTACTCAAAACTCCTTTTCTTTGGCTTCCTTACTGCTTAAACTTTCCTCTGACCACTGTAACACATCTGCCATTATGGCCCAGTTCTTAACAGCTATTGCTTTAGCACAATGGGTGCTTGGTTTTGGGGTGTGACACTCCTTTTGCTTGGGCTCCCATCATGTGCTAATTTCCCTGAGCTGGGTTAATAGCTGGACCTCTTTGTCTTTATGTTCTGTCTTTTGTTTCCCAGCACTTATAAAGTTTTGGGGCCCATTTCATACTCAAAGTGTGTAATTTATTGTTTCATTCTGGCCCTTGTTCTGCTTTACCTCTTCAGGTCATTTGGCCTTGAACCCTCTACTGTCATAATTTTTAATGCTGACCTAATCAGTTGGGAGAATTTTAGATCCAAAACTTGTGCTAAGAGTTTGAATGCAGCCAGGAAGTTTAGGGAGCAGGTGAGGCTAAGCAGCTACCCAATCCCCTGACCAGCAGTTTCTTTGTGGTGATTAAGCAATAGGTCAGCTGAGGATTTTCATTTTTCTTCTATTAGGGCCTTGTGCTAGGACCACTGTTTCTGCAAATGTTGAGAAATGATGGGTTCTCTTTGGTGCACTCTTAGGTGATACCACTTCCATAACATTTCTATCCTAAAAGTGTTCTTTTCTTCACTCTCGGTATAGCAGAACAAGCCTGGAAATAGTTCCCATACAAAATACTGAGTTTTTATTTCAAAGATGATCTGTCCCCCAAAGTTCATGCTCTTACCATCGGCAGGAAATTTTCAATCTTACAAACACCTCAGAAGATTGCAAATAATCCTCAGATCACAAAGACTGGCATGGAGCATTTGGTGTAATCTGAGGATTATTTACACTTACTTGATCTAAAGAGAGAATGTCTGGTCATGAATCATTAGGTGGCATGGATAGTTGGCTTAGGAAGGCTGTGCAACCAGACTGACTTGGGTTTAAAACTTCTGGTCTCAGTTACAAGCTGTGTGACTTTGCCAAGTGAAGGAATCTCTCTGAACCTCTTTTTACTCAGTTGTAATATGCAAATAGTATCTGTCTTTTAGGGTGGTTGTGAGGGTAAAGTAAAATATATGAAAAATGGAAGGTGATCAGTTCATATTTATAAATCAACTTCATGCCCTGACCAAGTTGTAAAATAAAGCATTTAGCTAAAATGACTTCTAAGGTACTTCTAGCACTAATAATTTTTGATTCTTTGATTTTAGTTGTACAAAATTAATGTATATTTTAAAGATAAGTTCATAACTGCAGAGTGCTTGGTTGGCCTCAATTACTGTTTGCAAAGTCTTCTTTGCTGGACATAGAGATGCCAGTGGAGAAGTTCTACCAGCCTAAGCTTGTAGTTCTCTTAGCTTGTTCCATTATTTCAGCGTTCCCAGACTCTCCTGGGCCTTATGAAGCTAAGTCACCGTCCCCACCTCCTCCTGTATCTCCATCTCCTGATCCCGTACGGAAGTCTGAGCCTGAACCTGAGCCTCCTTCTGTCAAGGTAAACTTCACTGGGAGGCTTCCTTTCCATGTATCCTTGATTGCCCAAGGATCTACAGTTACTATTCTGAGTCATTTCTCTTGCTATAAAAATCACAAATGCCAGTACATGGTTCTTATTTTGCTCCTCTACAGATTGACCAGAATGGGTATTCCCTCTCTTCTCACAAAATGGAAGGTTTTTTTTGTTACCGGCGATTGAACTCAGGGGCACTTGACCACTGAGCCACATCCCCAGCCCTATTTTGTATTTTATTGAGAGACAGGGTCTCACTGAGTTGCTTAGCGCCTCACTAAATGGCTTTGAACTCGGGATCCTCCTGATTCTGCCTCTCAGGCCGCTGGGATTACAGGCGTGCACCACTGTGCCCAGCTAGAAGGGAGCTTTTATTTTGTTTTATTTTACTTTTGTGGTACTGAGGCTTGAACCCAGGGCTTTGCACATGTTAGACAAGTAACTCCAGCCCTGAGCTATATCCCCAGCCTAGGGAGATTTATTGAAGGTCAGTCGCGGGGAGGTTAGAGATGGATTTGGGGAGCGGTTTTGTTTTCCATGACCTTTAGTACAAGGGCTGCTGTGATGTGCAGCTGCTGTTGGAATTGTGCAAAAAGAAGTCCTGCTATAGTTTAGTGAGATCCTGTCTCAAAAAAAATAAAAATGTCTGGAGAGGTAACTCAGTGGTACAGCATCCTTGGGTTCAATCCCCAGTACCACAAAAAGCAGGGAAAGAAAGAGGTAATGCCTGCATCAGAGCAAAGTGTGAAAGATAGAAGGGAACAAAGGACTCATGAACATTTGTTGCTTTGGTAAAGTTCTTCAAGAAAAGAACTGGATGAGAACAAGTGGGGAAATACAGTTTTGAATGCTCTTCAACTGTGCGTGCCTTTATCAGTGTAGGTAGTGAAGTGTTGAGAATGGGCACTGACAAGGTTTTTTTTTCTTTGTGATATTTTCCTTAATTCATTGCGTTAAGACTTATTTAAATCTTGCACTGATTTTGTCTTTAGCTGAAGGGAAGAGGGAATGAAAGAGACCCATGGAGTAAAGAGGAAAGTAATATTAGTAACACCTGTTTCAGTCTAAACTTGGTGGGTGTAATGCCATTGAAATGCCAAGGCTGACCATGGCAAGTGTCTATGGCCTGGGCATTTACTAAGAAATCCCTGGTCTGATTTAAGGACCACTGCTGTGTGCTTCTCTAATATCTGCCCCCATTAAAGCTCTTACACAGTATATTGCAATGGTCTCTCTCCTTGACTCTGTCTTCCACTAACATCCTTATCCAATTTGTCTTTTTAACCATGGTGCACGTACTGCACCACAAAAACTTATTGGCAGAATGAATACAGTTCTTTCCTCAGCATGCTACTTTCCTTCTCAACGTCACTGAAACATCAAATGTGTACATATAGTATATCTAACTTATCTGTGTGGTAGGGTTGGTCCTCTTTCAACTTTTTAAATCATAATGGAATACTGGGCAGTGGTTGTTATCGATTAAAAAGCTTTCATTGTTTTTCTCTACAGCTTCATTTGTCAACTTAACCTTGTATCCTCTGATCTTCCTCTGATCTTCTAGAGTTCAAGTGGAGAAAACAAAAGAAAACGAAAACGTGTACTGAAATCTAAAACATTTTTGGATGAGGAAGGCTGCATAGGTAAGACAAATTTGGGGCTCCAAATCCAGAGAGAAAGTTATTCACCACAGAGATGTACCATAATCCTATGTAGAGCAGTACATCTCAGAATGTGTATATAACTCACCCCCAAGTGGTGCTGATGTTGCTTGTCTATAGCCCACACATTAAGTAGCAAAGTATAGAGATGCTGCAACTATAGTCAAAACACCCAGGTTCTTATTTGGGCCATACATCATAAAAGTAAGTGCTGAGATCTTGTCTAAAGGTCTTGTGATTTCTGGTGGGGAGTTATTTGATCTATAGAATAGAGGGCAGGTACATACTTTGCCTGAATGTGGGTTGTTATGGAGATTCAGGTGAGGTAATTAATTATCTTTAAAGACTCAAGATGGAAATCACAATACAAAGTTAAGATATTGTCATAGACATCGAGAAACATTTGTTGTTTTAGAATGATTGTTTCTTGAATTTGAACAGTGGGGGAAAAAGCACCTACAGATGATTAGACTCTGAAGAGAGAATCAAGAGTCTTTGGTGTTTGGTCCCGTTTGCTCTTAGAAGAGTATGACTCATCCAGATTGCTTCCTTTGTTTCTCTTTGTAAGCCATGTTAGGTAAAAGCATGTGCTTGTTATGAAGGCCCGGAAGGGAATTAGAATTCAAGTTTTGAGTCATTAGCTGATTCTTCAGAAGCAAAATGCTGCTTCTGCCCTTACCACAGTCAGACCAGACTTCTGTGAGGCATTTAGGATTTAGCACTTGAGGCCCAATGAGATGCTCAGATCCCAATACTGTGCTTTTGTGTCTGGAAAGAGTTTTAGATTTAGGTTTATAAACCTCTTGTTAGTCGGAACACCCATCATTATTACTTCTCTCTCTTGTGGCACTAGCCACATCTTGGATCTTCTAGAGGGTTTTTTTCCCCCTTTCTTGATTTCCTTTTCTAGTTCAAATTTCTGTTTTAAAAGTTTGATCAGCTTTGAAGAATCAACTTCTAGGCAATGTGGTTATTAAAACTTGTGAAAACATCTGTCGTGTGCCTCATCCCATTAATTACCACTTCTCATTCCCCGTAAAAAGCCCCTGCCCTATTTTAAAATATATTTTTAGTTGTAAATGGGCACGGTATCTTTATTTATTTATTTTTTTTCAAATGTGGTACTGAGGAGCTAACCCAGTGCCTCACACTTGCAAGGCAAATACTCTGCCACTGAGCTACAGCCCCAGTCCAGCCCCTGCCATTTTGATGGTAGCTTGTGATTAGGTAATACAATTCCTTACCTGTATGAATTCTTTTTTCATGCCAAATTTCTTTTTTTTTATTTAATTTTTTAATTTGTTCTAATTAGTTATACATGACAGTAGAATGCATTTTGATACATTATTATATACATTGACACATTATAAATGGATTATGACTTATTGTGTTTTTCATGCCTGATTTCTTTGACAAGTCTATGGATTCTTGACCTTGAGTGGGAGTTTATTTTATTATTTTTTGTTGTTGTTTTGGTTTGGTTTTTTGGTTTCAGTATTCTAATATAGTTCATTTTCAAGACAATGATTTGGCCATTGGTGGTAATAAATGTATGTACAATTGAATTTCTTAGTCTTTTTTTCCCCTCCCTCTTTTAGTTCAAAGAGAACAAAAGCACCAGTGCCAGATTTTTCCTCCTCTCCCCCCACCAAAAAAAAATGTTAAAGATATCTTTATGACAATTCATTAGGAATTTGTGGCTAATTACTTATTGCTTTGTGCAAGACACAATACTTAAGTTTTGACCAGATGTAGGATATGGACTTTTTTGCACTTCTGTCTTCAGAGAGGACTATTAAGAGCCTTGGATGCAAGAGTGAAAACTGTGGTAACATTGCACTGTTTTGGTAAGGTTTTTAATCCAAACTCAACCTAATGAATTTTGGCTCTGGTTACCAACAAAGGAGTTCTGCTTTCCTCTCTGACATAGGTGGATTTCTAAGAGCCAAGTAGTTAAATGGAAACGATACCTGGTAATAGCCAAAGATATTTGGTTATTTACAAGATATTTGGTAATAACCAAAAACCCAGATATTTTTGTTAATGGAAGCTGAGAAAGATAGCATGTTGTTCAGCTAAAACACTTGGGATTTTTAAGTCCAAATCTCCTTTGTCCTATAGTTTTAAGTGGCTACAACTTTGAACATAGAAACATGCCTTTTAGCTTTTAAGGTGTACTGAGTGTGCTGCTTATGAAATTTTGTCAGTGCTGCCCTGGCTGTTTTTTAACTTCCCTAAGCAATGTATTACACAAAATTGGCAATGAGGCAGCCAGTGGCTTCGTTAAGAAGTAGTGAAATAACAAACTAATTGATGCTGAAGTATAATATTTCAGACATGCTGCCATTTGAATACAGAATATAGTTTATGAAGTAGCAATGGCTTATACACCAACTATTAGTAATGGTTTCCTTTTTATAGATGGCTCTTCAGACTTTGCTAATTTAAAATATCGAATAAATCACAGCTCATAATTTTGTCCCGTTAAGCCAGTTACATAATGCTTTTGAAGATGCATGTGAGATGGGGTTGGTGTTCTGGGATCCTGCTTTCTATTAGGTAGTCCATGGAAATTCCCTAAGTATTTTCTCAAAAAGACTGGAAGATTTCTCAAACTTTACTGACTACATGCATTAGTTAAAGATCTTGCTAAAATTGAAATTCTGGTTCAGTAGGCCAGGAGTAGGACCTAAGATTCTTCATTTCTAATAATTCTGATGTCTCTAGTCTGGGGAGCACAATTTGAGTAGCAAAGCCTTCAGAAACACTTGATATTCTATGCATGGTGGTGCACACACCTGTAATCCCAGGAACTCAGGAGGCTGAGGTAGGAAGATCACAAGTTCAAAGCCAGCCTCAGCAATTTAGTGTGACCTTGTCTCAAAATAAAATTTTTAAAAAATGGGGCTGGGGTTGTGGCTCAGCATGTGCAAGGCTCTGGGTTTGATCCTCAGCAACACATAAAAATAAATAAATAAAGGTATTGTGTCCAACTACAACTAAAAAATAGATATATTTAAAAAAAGGTCGATATATTTAAAAAAAAGGTCGGGGTGAAGAGGGAATATGGCTCAGTGGTAAAGTGCCTCTGGGTTCAATCTCTAGTACCAAAAAATCAAACACACACTTGATATTCTTTAAATATGTATCTGTTTGTGTGTATGTATATACCATATATAAATTTCTTAGCATTTAAGTTGGTAGGAGTCATCAAAGCAAGCTCTAGGCTCTTGAAAGTAAAGAAATATAGGAACTCTTAGGGAGGGGATTGTTAATTATGCAACCCTAATGGAATTAGATGGATAGTGTGAAGGAATGCTATAGTGGTAGTAGTCATTTGACCTTTAGCACAGTCTATTGTGCAGGAAAAAAGTAGCACTAAAAAGTACTTGCCAAAGACTGTTAGGCTTATCTATATATCCTGAGGTACAGTGTTATCCCCATTTTAACAGGGATGGGGAGGACAATGACAAAATAACATCCCCAGACCTGCAGCATCAGAGTCATCTGGGAACATGTTAAAAAAGCAAGTTCTCAGTTCCTGTCCCATACCCATTAAATCTGAAACTTTGGAGATAGAATCCAGTAATGTGGTGTTTTGTTTTTTTAAGATATTGATGGACCTTTATTTATTCATTTATTTTTATGTAGTGCTGAGAATCAAACCCAGTGCCTCACACATGCTAGGCAAGTACTCTACCACTGAGCCATACCCCTAGCCCTCAGTATTGTGTTTTAACAAGCACACCAGATGATTCTAATGTTAAAGTTTGAGAGAATATAAGTAACAGACTAGGTATTTGAAAACAGATATATTAGATTCCAAAGACTAGGCCTTTTAGAACAAGTTAACTAATATATTAGAAATAATTATTAGTAATTTAAGAGTTCAAAACTGTTATGTTCTTTAATGGGGAAAATACCTTATACTTTGATACTTTGAGCATTTATTGTACATATTAAGATACTCTTTTCATCTGAGAAAAGATGTTTTCCACCACCTGCTGCAACCAGAAAGGCTGAGAAAGAATTTAGATGGCATTGATGCTACAGTCTCTAAAGTTGCAGAAAGGTGGCATTGTACTTTGACTTGTGGTTGGTGTATGTAATACAGTAGTAGTGAAGAGATCCTCATTAGTTCTGTGACATCATGGTTAGAAACCACTGTTTCTGCCTGAGCCCTTTAGGATTTGCTTACAGTGAATGACTACTCACTGGTGTAGTTCTTTTCCAAGTTTCCCTGGAGAAGGATTTGCAGAATTTTAGTGGCAGAACAAACAACTTATGCCTTCAGCCGATTGGAAGGAAGAAAACTAGTAACTTTGCTTCTCATTTTGTTATTGCCCTTTCTTTAAACTACTAAGTATTTCATCTGGTAGGATTTGCTTGGGACAGTTATCTTAATGATGTAGACTTGTATTTAATCTTAGGTTATTTTGTAGTCACACAAAACTAAGAACTGAACTGTTGAGTAATTAATGTCCAGTTCTCTGTGCTTAAGATGTACAGAGTGTGAATGACATCAGGATGGAACTAGCCAGGAGGGTCCATGACAGTGAACCTGACCAGACAGAGTGGGGGCTTCAGTGGGCCAGAAATTTTAACACCAGGAAAACCAGCAATGGGAATAGGCAAGCTCTGTGAATAACAGAGATAGAACCAGTTAAAGCATGGTATTATAAGTAGGTGTCTATGAGACTGATGACTCAGATGTAGAGCTCTAGAAGTTAGCTAGCCTAGAATGGGACCCAATTAATGATAAAGGCCGATTTAATGGCATGAGGAAGGAGGGATGAATGTTAATTCTTAGCCTTGCTAGGAGGATATGTAAGCTCAGAAGCCCACGTACTTTCTACCTGAAGCTAGATATGGTCTCCCAATAGGAGAAAGGTTCAGTTTCAGGGATGGGGTGGGGTGGGAAGCAGACATATCATTCTCTTGGTAAATTACTCCATTTACCCATGTCCCCATTTTTTCCCTTATTCCAGTAACTGAAAAAGTTTACGAGAGTGAATCTTGCACAGATAGTGAAGAAGAGCATAAGACGAAGACATCCTGTGTCCAAAGACCTCCTGCCATGACTGTGAAAAAAGAGCCAAAAGAGGAACGAAAGGGCCCCAAAAAAGGGACTGCTGCTCTGGGCAAAGCCAACCGACAAGTGTCCATTACTGGCTTCTTCCAGAGGAAATAACTGCTATTTCTGGCAGGTCAAAGACTTGGAGTGGTCAAGGGAGAAGACCAAGAAATATAAACGCTCTCACTTACTATGTAAGTTCATCTAGCTCCTCACCTCACCAGTATCAAAAGACTATGCTTCTAACCTGTGAGGTTTATATTATTTCTGGTTTTTTAACCAAAAGAGTCATCTGGAAGCAGGAGGCAAAAGGATATTTAAAAAGCTGTTACCTTCTAATGACATTTTTAAAGCACAATCTTTGACCTGTCTAGGACAATTCACTTCAAAATTAATTTGACAGGTTTCATAATTACCCACTGTGCCCCACTCACCCTGTACCCTGTTCCTCTTAGGGTTCAGGAAGTGTTCCTTCTTGTTCCTCTGTGTTCCGTGAACTTGTGTGGATGTTTTTATCCCTGAATTCTACTGGATGTGTTTACTACTTCCTGTGTTCTCCTCTCCCCACTACCACATTTCTATCCCCTCGCCTCATAAAGCTGTTTTCTGTAAATCTTAAATCTTGGTTGGACTAAAAGCTGAAACAAAAATCATCTTGTAATCTCCTTCCTCCATTATATGGTACACTGACACCTGGCTACAGACCCAGGACATTGCTTGCATTCTGCTTCTTTCACAAAAGCTCTCTAGACCTTCCCTGGCAATTAGTGGTTAGGGAAAAGCCTCAGGCAGGGCACAAATAGAAATTTAATGATGTATCCAACTCCACCAGAAATTACTTAGAGTCAGCATGGATGATATTAGAGGAGTTGTCATGTTGCTAACACGGGGTATGCTGAATACTGTGCTCTTTGTGGTTTCTTGCTCCCCCACCTTCCCACTTTCATTACCTAGAGAGGAGAACCCATACAGTGAGATGAAGATACAAAAGAGAAATACTTCTACATGTAGTGTACAACACGTACATAGAATTTGTCCCTCTCAAGGAAATGGGATGTTCAGAAATGGCAGTTTGCCGGGAAGTTAAAGAATTTAAGACACACATACACAGATGTTGTTCCTCTTTCTTTTTAACTCTCCTATTTGCCTAATAGTAGAGGCTCCTTAAGAAGAAATGGAAAAGCTGAATGGTAGGTCTAAATGATAAATGAAACATTTTCTTTTGTACTTATGGAAAATCATCTACTCCAATATAGTAACTTTCAAGCAGTTTCCACTGTGGCTAGGCTGGCAGTAAGATAGTGGACTGAGGTGGTGTGGCAGTGATCTTGCACAGTGAGCTCTGGGGAAGGGAAACCAGGCTCAACTTCTGATGTGACTCACCCATAGCAGACAAGGGATGGCTGACCTGTTCCTTCCGCCTCAGCCTGGTGTATATCATAAGTGATGCAATCAGCTGTCTATTGTTGAAGGTTAGGATTGTGACTGACCTTGGGTTAACATGAGCTTCTTTAGCACCCAAGCATGGACTTGATTAAGGCCAGAGGTCTGGGAGATGAGTGCTGGCAGTATGTCTAGGACTTGAGAATGCAGAGGCTTTGTATAGCAAGCTGAATCCAAGGCTGACTTGCTCCCAAACCCTTTCTTTTTAAAATGAAAAGGATGGAAAGCCTGGAATTAAAGCTTGACAGACAACTTCTGGAGAAAAATGCCTTATAACAGTTATTTTTGTCATTGCCTCTAGTCATTTTTTTAAAATAGGAATGGAAAATTAAAAAGCAAAAATCTAGTCTTTTTTTCTTTTAATTACTATGCTGGGATCTCTAATAAAACTGAATTTGAATTGGAAAAATCTGTTGCTAGTTGGAGTTTCATTTTTCAAGGGATAATGCAAGTCCTGTGATTTCTATGTCCATCATGCTGCCTAAACTCAGAGCTGTCTATGAGGCTAAGTTAGTATTGAGTGGTGGCTTTTTTTTTTCTCTCCTTTACTTTTTATACAAAGTACTCTACCATGTTATCCACATGAGTTAAATAAATTTGAGAAGTTGTTTTAAAACAGTGCTTCAAACCTAATATCTGATGAGTCTGTTATTTGACAGGCCAGCCAGCAGTATGTGCAATTATCTAAACTCCGAACAGAAACAAGACTGGTTTTCAGTTTATGTTGTTAAAACTGCATACCCATAGTCTGAGATGGACAAGTTATTTGCTTCCTTCATCATTTTTTCAGCCCTGTGGGAAATCTTACTTTTAGCCAACCTCATTTTTTAGTTCATTTAGAAGAAAATCTAGTCCTGACTTTGCACATTATATTAGTTTGGCTTCATTATTTGCTAGCTGTGTGTGACCTTGGGCAAATTTTTGAGCCTCGGGTTGTTTAACAAAATAGAGCTAAAATGAGTTACTGTGGATTGTCAAGATTGAAGTAATGTATATGTAGCATTGGTACACAGTGGCAACCGCATAGCTACTCTGCAGATGGTGACCTCCTTTCTGATGTCATGAATGATGCAATCAGCTATCAGCTTCCTGAAAGTTATCAAGGATCTAACCCAAATGGTATACTGTCAGCTGTTTTGGCTGTACAGCTGTTCTGGTCAAAGGGGGGAAGACAGTTATCCTATTTTATGACAGACTTTAAAGAGTGGATTTTTGTTGGAAGAAAGTGAGATTTATAGATGGGAATATTTACTATTCATTAAAACACTCATTGTGTATCTACTATGAATCAGGACTCTGACTTGGGCACTAGAGGATATAATAAAAACCATAAAATTTGTATCTTTTCCTCAGGATGCAGTGGAAGAGACAAGCCACTGAACAGTACCATATGCAAGTACAGTGACAATAAGCACAGGGTCCTCTAAAGTTCATAGAACGGTGGGTGTCAAAGCAATCTTTCTGAAGGATGGGAAACCAGCCAATTTCTTGAAGATCGAGTAGGATTTTTACCAAGCTAGAGGAATGGACAGGAATTTCCAGGGAAAGGAGCATGGCTTTTAGATTTTTTTTGGTGGGGGAGATGGGCTGTAGAATTTGAGAATGGGAAATATATGAGAAGTGAAGTTGGGGTGCTGCTGAGAAGTTTGGATTCTATTTTGGATAATGGGGGCCAACTGGAGGATTTTAAGGAGTAACATTAGAAGTTGATTATCAGTTAAGAGTAGCAGCTGGCACCTAAGGTGATTAGGTATGCCATGATAGTGTGTTCACCCACATTGGTACATTGTGTCTTGGGTCTAGTAGTAGTAAAGTTTTAGGTCTAGTAGTAGTAAAGTTTTAACAGGATTAAAGAAACCTCTCATGGTTAAAACATGCTGCTTAATTCTGGCAGCCAGCATAGAAAGTTGTATTGTTTCCCTTATCTTTCCTCATCAACTTAGAATTCTTTAGCAGAATGGGTTTTTTAAAAGTGATTTCATAAGCTGGTAAGCCTCTGAGACTCTCAATGACAAAGCAACCTTACTCTACTTCCTAAAAAAACACTGAGGGAGTGTGGTGTGGGGGGAAGGGGTGAGTGGAACAGTTCTCTTCCTTTTCTATCTTTGTTTCTTTAAGAAGACATAGTAGTTATACAGGGGAGAGCTGAGGAGAAGGGCCTTATAAGGAAACTAAATAGTTTCTTCAGAATATGAGTAGAAGGAGTGCCTAATAATGTATTTGCCAGAAATGTACTCTGTGTCAAGACTCGTTTTGGTAAACTTGTCTCTTTTCATTGTTTCCGGGATCTCATATGCTGTAATGCAGCTTTTACCACCATGAAACATTCAGGGGCTGCCTCGTTTTGTCGTGAGAAGGCAGTATTGCTTTCTGAGTTATTGCCCTGGCAGCTCTGTAAATTAGACCATGCTGTCACCATGCCCTCTCTGAAGGGCACATTGTACCCAAATGACTGCATTTAGGATTGACTCTTGCCACTCCCTGCTGCATGACACTTCTCTCTGCTTGTATCTGTGTCCAGTTTTTTTATGTTCTTAAGTGTGGGCCACCCACACATTGCCACCCAGGTTCCTCAGCCAGAGTAACTTGGTAAGGCTTCTGATCCAATAATTTTCCATTGGATCAGAACCTACCTAACTCTAGAGTTCCCCTTCCATTTCAAACCTTAAATGTTGTCTGACTCCCCAAACTCCCCCTCCTCCTTTATTTTTCTCTCCTGCTTCTGCCAGACTCCTTGTTTCTTGAAGGCCTCCCTTGGCTCTCTCCACCTTGTTTTTTAATGCTCAGAGTTCATCATGGCTAGTCCTTCTTTAGCTTTTTTCTTCTCGTCTTTTAGGTTTTCTTTCTCAAGATTCTTCTTCCATATGGCATGTCATTTCCTGGACTGTTCTTGAAGAATGGAAAAACTGCTTTGTTTAGTGTCTGCTTTGAATCATTCAAATTCAAAGCATTAAGCGGTTCTTGAATGCTAGTTATGTTTAGTCCTGGAAAAGATACTTTAGGGATTTTACAAGAGCCTGGAAGTTACCATTTTGGAGTATAGGGTCTACACACATAACAGCACTTGAGACAGTGCGTAGATGAATGGTAGACAAGGGACTTAATAATTCAGAAAAGAACTGGCATCATCATAATGAGCAAATTCTCATAGTTCTATGCAGAGAACATCAAAGGATTTAAGATAGGAACAGCCGAGGAAGGTTCACCATTTTAGTGGATTTTATCTAATTGTTCAAACTTTACTCACCATTTATACGCTCATAACATATATAAAACATGATGAGGTGAATCTCTAATGAAGTTATTTCTTATTAGAGAATTAGAGTCTTGACAAGAAAGCAAGCAGTTAGTAGGATTATCTCAAAAGGCAATTTATAGGATATATACTGATTCAGCACCAGTTCAACTCAATTTTGTATATCAACAGTTTTGGGGGGAAGCTGGGTGCTATGATGGAAACAATAGTCTTGGGAGGCAGAAAGCCTCCAACATTGGCTGTAGGCTCATCCTTTGTGAAATTTAGTTTCCCTATTTTTAAAATGAGCTGCCACCTGCCTTAAAGGGTTGTTTTAAGGCTTTCGTGAAATAATGCATGGGTAGGCAGTCCCTAGTATTAAACAATACAAAGCAGAATTTTTTGAGCACCTACTATGTGCCAGGCAGTGTTTTAAGCACATGAGATACATTCACTCTTAATCCTAGCAGCCTATGAGATAGGTACTTTTATTCCCATTTGCATAGGAAGAAACTGAGATAGTTTGCTCAAGATCACAGAGATAGTGTAAGTAGCAAAGCAAGGATTTAAATCTTAACAATTTAACTCCATTAGTTTAACACTGCTATATCCCCTCTTGGCTATATATTAGTTTAAACTTCCATACCATTTGATAATGTTCATTTTTATAAGTGAAAGTCAACCTAGTTGTTTAGATACCAGGTTGTCAGATTTGAAGGCAATCTAAATGTTTATCTAAGTCAACCATTCGTCTGATGCTTGCTTGAGTCCTCTACAGCATCCCTGCCAAATGGTCCTGAATCTATAAACAAAGATTCAATTATGTTCAGTATACCAAGCTTACTAAATTACAAAGTCAGATAAGTAGACTAATAAATGTTAAGAAGAATTTAAAGAGACTAGAATAAAATAAAGTTTTCTGATGAATTTTAGATCATTAGGAAATGATTCTAAATAGAGTATAGTTCCCTACAT